TTGCCAATAATATGATATTTGCTAATAATACAAAGTTATTCTGAATAGTTTAAAAGAAACCTCTGTTTTAAAGAACTGCAGGTATTGGACTGCTTGACCAGAAAGCAAAATAGCAGGTCATATTCAGTGCAGAGGAAGTGGTGTTCAAAGTGAAACCAAATCCTGCCTTTTTATATACACTGATAGACTCTGATCGGACTGAGATTACCCCGAGGACTGAGATTTTTTTTTTGTTGCAAAACATAGCTCACTAAAATATCAACTCAGTGCTTCACAGACGATCAAAAAGTACTTAAAATTCTATAAATCATTACAAGGAAATAGAAAAAAAATCATGTCAGTGTGCCGGTGTAGCAGACTGTAATTCAGCTGCACCTTCAGTGCACTGCAAATCTGGTATACCCTCCATTTCCCCTCATACGAAAAATGATACCTGAATCCTAGAGAATGGTTCAGGTGGCAACATGGATTTAAAAAAAAAAAAAAAAAAAAAAAAAAAGGGTATACAAAAGTATACATCAGACAGGGAATGACTGAATGTCCTGGGGCTCCTCAGCCTGGAAAAGAGGGGGTTATGATGAAGGTGTACAAGATCAAGAGTAGACGGAGAGTCCAGGCAGGGATCCACTGGTTTCCCCCTTCCCCTGCCAGAACCTGGGGGCATCGAATGGGGTGGTGTCAGAATGAGGGCTAAGCACACTTGCTATACAATGTCTTGGGTGTTAGAAAAGTCTGCATGGGTTAAAACTGAGACCAGACAAATTTATAGAAGAAATACATTAACAGGTATTGTAAGTGAAGGAAATCCCCGAACTGGAAATTGTTGGGGTGTGAGTGTGTTCCTGAACTTGCTTTCCCTGTCCCCCTGCTCCTCCCCAGCTTTCCGCTGGAACCAAGAGGTGACCAGACTAACTCAAACTTCAGCCTGATTCACTCTTGCTGGGTTTGCATCCTTTTTATTGTCTTTATATTACGCTGCTGCAGAGTAACAAAGCAAAGTATCCTCCCGACTGGCACGAGCATCTCAGCAGCACCGTTTCCTCCGTGCCCAGCGCCCCGCCCGCACCGGTGCTGCCTGCTCTGGTGCCTCTGCACCCTCAACTCAGCTGCCCAAAGAGCTGCAAGGGTCCTTCGGGAGGTTTAAATGACCCCCCCAAAGGTCACTGAAAGTACTGTAAGTTCTCACAGAGTTTTGACAAGCCGCTGTGTTTCCACCTGCTTGGTTCCCGTGGCCCAGAGTTTGGCATGGAGTGATGCAGGCAGCATCACGCCTTGCTGTCTTGCCAGTACCAAAATCAGGCTGGCCTAGCTGGAGGCAGGCTTTGCCTGAGCCTGGGGTGAGGCTCTGGCTCTGTGCTTAACCTCTGAGCCATGGTAATAGCCAGGAAGAAGGAGTCCAGTATAAATTACAGGAGTTGAAGCCTGGTCAGGATGAATTAATATTGCTGATGCACCCAGGGAGGCCAGAGAGCTCCCAGTTCATGCAAGAGGCAGGTGATTTTGACTCTAAAATCCTGGATAAGTGGTTGTGGCAGGGAAGATGACAGTGACCCCGGCTGGTTGGACTTCTCGGTGTCACCAAGTATGTGACGACAGCAAATTACTGCACTGCCCACATCACCTCAGAGAGCTTTAGCTACGTGGCTACGGGCAAGCAACAAAGCTTCAACTTCCTTAATTCTGAGTGCCAGTTCACCTCATCGAGATTCAGATGAGACAAATCTTAGCTAGGAGACTGGTTGAGCTCCCTTGGGGCGTGAATGAAACTTATGGACTCTGGGATCAAATGTTTTCATAAGCAGCTCAGTCTTCCAAGCCCAGGAATCCCTTCCAGATATTTTTCTTCATTATGCAAGCATTTTCCATCATTTTTCCACTTCACACCATCTGTCTAGTTTCTGCTGGTTTAGGGGTGGGGGGTTTTTTCTGGGCTACGGAACTGCCACTACCTGCTATGGAGGAGGAAGTCCAAAATGTGGTTCCTGGCAAATGCTACCCTGGTAGCTGGAGCTTCAGTGGAAACCACTTACTGGGTCACTGCTATGTGTGCACTGGCTGATTTGCTCTAACTGCTTTTAAAAGATTAATCAATCAGCTTGAAAAATTAGCAGGATTGTAGTTCCATAAGAGAACAAACCATATTATATTGCCAATAATAAGGCAGGATAAAAATCTGTACACAGTTCTGGGTGGTTTTGTCACATTTTGTTCACACTTTGAATCTCTTGCCTCACTGAAAAGACGATGAGCTTTAAGCCATTGCTAGTTACAGTGCATGTGTGGACAAACACTATTTTTATAGAAACAAAGACAGATCTTTGGGTTTTTTTGTTTTTTTTTTTTTTTTAATGTTGATTACTAGGGCGTGTTTCCCCTGTGGTCTCTGCTTGACCTTGATATTGTAAAGTGAACCCCTGCTCTTTTGTTTCCTCTAAGACGAGCTGCTTCTTTGCCTCCGTGCAGCCCCATTGCACCACGGCCAACAGAAAGTGAAAGCTCTGCGAGCTTTTCTAAACTATGCAAGCGTCAGCACACTCTTCCTTTTGCTTTTCTGCCCGAGATCTCACTCTCCTCAAAGGGAGGGGACGCAGAAAACGGAGAAGTGACGCGGGGCGCTGAATTGCTGCATCCGCCGCCGGCCATTTCTGCGTTACAGCATCGTGTCCCCGCCGAGGGCTGCCAGCGAGCACAGCTTCTTGCCTGTGGCGTTCGAGCGGCCCTGAAATTCTAAGGGCACGCTGTGCGGCTCCGTCTTCCTCCCAGTGCCTGCCTTCATCCTCTTTCTGCTGGGCTACGGGGTGAGCATCGGGACGCGGGGCCTGCTGGCGGGCAGCTGCCCTCCGGAGAAGCTCTGCAGCCGCCACCGCCTCGTGCTGGTACCGGTGACAGCCAGAGCCTCGCCATGTCCCCCCCCTTCACCTGGGCCCCGGCGGCCCCCCACTCCACGCCAGCTCCTACGAGCGCGCGGCCGGCGGGAGAGGCCTGCTGAGGAGCTTCGTGTGCGCGAGGGGAAAAAAAAAAAAAAAAAAGGACGGGAGTGGGAGCTTCGTGTCAGTTAAAAAAGGACGGGAGTGCCACGAGATGCTGCTCAAACCGCCCTGCGGCGTGACGTTACCGGTGAAGACACGGAGCGAAGTGCTCAGCCCCCCCAGGCACAGTCCCCGGGTAAAGCCTCGCCGCCCGTCCCGCTGTGGGCTCCAACCCCCCGGCTGCTCAGGGCACCGTCGTTCCCGCTGGCGACTGTGAACAGTCCTTCTCTCTCGCGCTGACTAACTGCCAAAAGTTCACGATTAGCAAAAAAAAAAAAAAGACACTAACAGAAAGGTAACAAGTGTATATTTGTGATATTTTCTCGTTTTGCACACTTGCACGGCACTGCCATTTACAAAACCTCTTTCAAAGCTGGGCAGGGAACCAGCCTAGAGACCAGGACTTTCCACAGCAAGTTTTCTTCCCATTTAACTTAGGCATGGTGCAAGCTCTTCTCTTTTTCCACTTTAACCCTTCTAAGTTCCTCAAACTTTTGTAAGTATACATCAGCTGAGGGGACGGTGAGGTCACAAATAGAGAGGAAGACGATCTTGCAACAGAGAACTGGCAAATGAAACAACTAAGTACAGCTTGTTTGACTATGAATCTTAGTGTTTGAACCTATTCATAATTTCCCACTTGTATTATAGAAGAATGGCTAAAATATGTATCTGGCGTGTTAAATTGTTCTTGGGCTGAAGGTAAACTTCATGATCAAAAAAATAGCACTTGTGGGTAGATTTTGTTGTTTAGAGTGAAATGAAACCCCAAAATCTTGGCAGCACTCCAGTTTCATTTCTAAGGTTTGTTTGGTCACCACCTTAACTGCAGTAGAAAAATTGGGTTTTATCACTTTTTCTCAGGAAAACATTAAGGCTGGTTAATAAAGTTAAGTTTTTAAGAGATTATACTTATTTGGACTTTTATAAGTCCTTGTTTAGTACAAATGTCTATTAAAACAAAAGAAGTGTTTACGTTTGTTAAATATCTATCATGCTGCTCCTCCAAGAAAGAGGCTGAAAAGGGGCAAATTCTATACCATTGAATTCCGGTAGTGTAAGAAAGGAACAAAATCAAGGAAGACTGACTGTTACTGATATTGCAATGAAATCTAAAAAAACAACCACACTAGTCAGGCAAACACAGAAAAAGTGTGAGAGCATTTTTATTACTGACCATTATTTTTCGTACGCGATCTACTTTCAACAAAATTAAGAACCAAAAAGAACACAATCTCATTTTTCTTCAGCATTCAATGTTTTCCACTTCAGAAGACAACCAGCCTGAGGTGAAAGGAGATGCTGTGAGATCTGTGCCTGGAGCTTCCAGCTAACTACCACCGGGTGCTGGAGGGACCAGCATCTACTAGGACACCCACTTTAGGTGGGGCCTCTGAGATTTTATTTAGGGATGTTAAAATCATGTCTATAACAAGAATGAATCGCCATATTCCGTAGTCAAATCCATGTCCCGCCTACAAAACATACAGGACGCGATTTTTCCTGTGCCATGTGACAATTGGCTATTTTTAGCAGACTCAGACATCAGGGAGAGGAGGTGCTTTCCAAGAGCAGATAAAACGGAGTCAGCAGGAGGTCCAGTTCATGGTACCAGAGGTGGACAGGGTAATTCCACACCCTCTGCACCGTAAAACTGACCACCTCTGCAGAAACTACTGGTCAGTATATCGCCTTTGAAGGTAAGAAAGCTGGATATAACAGAGGAAAGAACTTTACCTTCTCTTTTTTTTTTTGGTATTCATCCTCAATCCAGCGAGCTCAGCTCAGGGGTTCAGAAGCTCCGTCAGGCTGGCTGAATTGGGTGCATGAGATCCTCTCTTTCCACAGCGAGCAGACTGTTACAGGCACTCCAGGGCATCTTTGCTTTCAATTTCCACGTCTGCTTCAATGATAAATTCTATACTCCCACATATGACCACGCAAAACCGCCGTTAACCCATCTATCTCTTTTCCAAGCTGATAGGATGGTCCCTGATAGCCAGCATCATGACTGTGGCACTGATTTCAACACGTGTCAGCCGCTGCTGCTCCCCGGTTAGCTATCTTCAGCTCAAGTTCTGGAAAATTTACTTGGAAAAGGATCAGGAGCTCTTTGAGATCAAGGCTAAAGAGCATGCAACCAAGCTGGCAGAAAAAAACACAAATTGCTCTTTTGAGGCCACTGACCCAGCGCCGTTTCAGACTCCCAGCAATGAAGACTGGAAGAAGATTTCATTCTTGTATACCTTCAGTTCACAAGAGCAGTATTACGGCACGATACACAAGTACATCAACACAAACAGAGGCAAAAGCACCAAATTTGGGGAAGGAGAGCAGAATCCCCCAGGTTTAGGATTTGTGGATGAAGTAAACGCAAGTGAATCAGGGTTTTAATGAAGCAAATCCTTTGCAACACTGGCGGTCTTTTAACCTTACTGATATAAGAAGAGTCTTATTCTGTGCTCTTATTGGAATCTATGGGAATTGTATGTAAAAGCTGATAATTGTAACCCTCAGCAGATTTCTTTTTAAATACACTTTATTACTTTTGCTTAAGTACGTTTAAATAAATAAACACATCTGTCATGATGGGAGTTTTTGAATGTTGTTGTTCATTAAGAAGAGCCACACGTGTAAAATAATCAGCATCCACGAAGATGTCAGCATGTACTACATCAAATTATTACCAAATATCTTAAGGGCTTTTGGCAGCTAGGGTGACAACACCAAACCTTTGTACCTGGTAGTACCAAAGAGACAAAAAGGAATGGAGGTTTTGATCGTAAATTCAGCTTAGTTTATTAGCTCTCACTTGACTTTATTTTCTGTCAATTAGTTTCTCAAGGCAAGAATCATATCCTTTAAAATCTGGGAAGCAATTAGCATTTTGGACCTGCCTGTGCATAACAAAGGAGTCCATCAGAACAACTTCAGCTGCTTATCAGTTTGAATAGATAAGCAAAAAGATTCTAGCCACTTTACCCTATCTACTCAGCAGCTTTGAGTAATAACAGTGAAACCAAAAACCTTCATAGTGGTGAATTTTCTCTACCACTGCTTGATCTTGATCACCTCTTGCAGCAGGTCTTCTTAATTAGCTCTACAGCTCATTTCCTGTAATTGTAAAGCTCTTTGATGGGAAAAAAATAGATAATTGAATGCTGCAGGGAAAACACACCAACAATAAACTTCATGGGTTTATTCCATTCATATATTTTTTTTCCTGAAAAAAATACATAATTATTATGGGGTTTTTTTTAATATATAATATTACATATAGGGTTTTGGCCCTGGCATAAGTACCTAAGCTACACCTGGATGTCCCTGCCCAATACACCATTTAACTCGATCCAGAATGGGTTCTAAGTGCAAATTATCATGTCTTGAAGGGTTAGGCTTATGCATAACATGGAAGTATAGGTGAAGCTTATATTGACAAACATTTATAACACAGCTACGTACTTAAGGACCTTATAAATCCACGATCCATATTATCAAATAATAATGTTCTTATCAAAGAACATCTAATGATAAGAAACAAAAATACCAGTTTTGTACAAAGAATGATAAAGTTTAGTTTTTCTCTGAAAAGCCTGTTTTTACAGATCATTTTAGAGAGGTGAGTCAAATTGTTTGGTCCAGGTTGTCCTTTCAGTCCTCCCAGAAACCTTCCCTTTCTAGACAGTAAATTCTAACTTGGAAACTATTCAGACAGACAGAGAGGAATCCCACGAGGTTCTTTGTTACAGTAATTTTCCATGAAAGAAGGAAGGGAAGAGCCTATTTTAACTATCTGAATATAACTAGCTTGGAAGCTTCATTCTTATTATAAACTGAAAATATAACATGTAAAGGGAAAATAGGATTTAATTCTGAATGTAGAAAACAATTTTAGGAAACATTTGTTTTGTCACAGAGTCACTGGCTTTCTCTGCTCTCTTACTTTCAAGAAACTTGATAATAGAGTAACAATTGTTCAATTTGTTACTTGTGCCTCCAGGAAGTATGGTTCAGTTAAAAACGTCCCATTTTACCTTTCATATTGAAGAGCACGTTTGTTCATTGACGTGTAGAGAAAGATAAATCTACTCTGAAATGTTGTAAATGGGAAGGAAACAATGTCTTGGCCCCACCGCGATCAGTGCCAAAACATTCCTTGATGCAGTGGGGCCAGGCTTTACCTTAGAGATATAATAAAATACTTCAGGATAGACTGAAAGCCTCCAGGAACAAGCCATGCCTTATTTCATTTCCTGATGAGAAGCTGCAGTGAAAACACACTCAGAATTCACGTTAATCCTCTCAGATGCATCGGGGTGGGCTTTTGCTGCTTCCCACTCACGGTCACAGCTGCCAGGGTCTCATCGTCAAAGCTTCCTCAGCTTTCCAGGGAAGATACAGACCTGGCACTTCTGATTAAAATCAGTGAGCAAAGGCTTCCAAGGGGGCTGCAATGCATAGCTTCAAGTGTGCTGGCAATGGTGGCGGTCTGTTTTTCACAGCTGATGTGACTTTTGGGGGAAGGAGAAAAATTTGTCTACCTCTAAGGATAGAAGCAGTTGTTTATATATTGTTTTTGTACGCGGTCATGTTTGAACTTTGATTTTTCCTCATCTTTATGCAGCACTCATATCTTCTGCCTGTAGTTACATTTATAAGGAAAGAAATCTCAAAGAGAAGCTTCCGCACACTTGTGAGTGCTCCATTAATCACCTTCAAAAGGCCTACACTAAAACAAAACACTGAGGAACACATCTGTGACTACGCTACCAAGTGAGACAAGCAAAAAACTGTATGTGCATAGGGTACTTAATGTCAGCAACTAGCGGTAACAGAGTGTGGGTCACTGTTTTTCTATGGTTTATTACTATTTTTCTAGCTGGGGGTCCCTGTTTTTCTATGGTTTATTACTATTTTTCTAGCTGGCATTTACTTATTCCGTCTTTAGAATACAATAGACGAGGTGATCCAGCGTAGGAAGAAAATACAAAAAAACACTAACAGCAAACCGTGCGCATGGGGCATGTCTGCCCAGCACTGAGCCGAGCCAAGAGGAACGATTGCTGCACGGCCAGACGCACAGCGGGATGCGGCATGAGTACGAATTAGCACCCAGCCCAGTCTGGCAAACTCATGTCACCTCTTGGCTTGACCTCAAATATGCGCTGCCTTGAGTGGCTCAGGCATTTCTGCTATAAATTCACTCGCGCAGTGGAAATTTATCCTTCAAAACTTACCATGTCCAAGCAGAAGTAGAGAATTCCTCGGGCTGTTTGTTCTGAAATACTGAAATCTAGAGAAACAGCTTTGACGTCCTACAAGGAACACCACTGCAATGTTTGGCGCTGAAGGAAGGGGAGGAAGCCTTGGCCACACCAAAGCCAGTGTGGCAAGACTGCAAAGGCCCCAGGATGACGCTAATGGTCCTTGCCTTAAAAATGTAATATTCTTCAGGCAGAAACTCTTTAACAGGCCCTGAATACACAGGAGTGAGCCTACATGTCACTGCAGCGTCCTGACTGATGCTTTTTAGCTGGTGCAGACCTCAACAGAAAATGTCACCGTAGGTGTGTGCACATCTGCATGCAAGTCTAATGCAACAGAGCTTTAAGTAAGAGAATTGTATTTTACAAAACAAAGACAGTATAGATTATTCACTTTCATGATAATTATAAAAAGAGGCCAATATTTGGCTGGTAGGATGTTGCTGGAAAAAGGAAAAATGGCCATTGCCTTGTAAAAAACCTTCCTGTGGTCAGCTAAAGTCACCACGTGCCCATCCCAGCCAGCCGGGCATAGCTGAGGGCTCCTGTACAGGCAGTGAAATTAGGCAAATTCCACAAGAGTTTTCAGCCCTGATCAAAAAAAAAAAAAAACAAAAAACACAACCAAACAAAAAAAAAACAAAAACAAAAACAAACAAAAAAAAACAACAACAAACAAACAAAAAAAAAAAAAACAATCAAAAAAAAACCAACCAAAACTAACCAAACAAAAAAAACCCAAACAAAACAAAACAACAAAAAAACAAACGTAGGGATATTTGTTACTCGTTGTAACACGTTGATACATGCTGTAAGTCGTTATTGGTAGCAGGTAACAGCACGTTCAGCTGAGCCCAAGGCTGGGTAATGAATAGCTTAGGTTTTTGTTCTGTACAAAAATTGTTCTCTTAAAGCTCCATTCCACTACGCCACCACTGTACGACACTGTTAAGACAAAGGGAGAAAGATTATTGTGAGGATTATAAAGATCTGGCGGGGATGAACCCCGCTGTCCCCGAGGTAAGAGCTGCCCCTCACTTCGCAGGATTAAGAGATAAAGAGACTGAGGGAAAAATAGGATATTAGGGTACGAATCACAGCGATAAAATCAGAGATAATTCTGGGTCTTCACTGAATTGAATTGAGGGGTCGTATTTCGGGTTAAAACAAGCACTTTGGTGAGAAGAAGGTGAGCTGGCTCTGTGGGCTAGGGTACTGTGCAAGGACTTGGGGTTTAGTCCAAGCCTTACCCAGACATCTTGCGTGACGCAGGACAACATTAAACCTTTCCTATAACTCGGGTCTCCGCGAGGCTGCTATTTCTCTACTTCCCAGTCACGTTGTGGTAACAAGTCCACTGCCAAGGGGAAGATGATCAACAGCAGGCGATGAAGGGCCGGCTAAGACCAGACACGACGACCAGCAAACCAGCTGCGCGGCAATCTGAATTTTTATTCCCGTTTCCTTGGGCGAGTACAGATCCAGGGTGACTGCTGGCGCGAGGGATGCCCGTGGCTTGGAGCAACGCGAGCGCGGGGCTGAAAAAGACGTGCCAGCGAAACCGCACGGAGCGGTAACGGACCAAACCGGCCCCTGCCGCCCAGGGGAGCTGCGTCCCTCCCCGTTCCCAAAGGGAGCAGGACGCCCGGCGTGGGGAAGCGACGGATGGCAAGGCGTTAGGCAGCCAAAAAAAAAAAAAAAAAAAAAAAGCACCTGCAGACAGCACTCACAGCGGATTGATTCATTATCCCTGACCGCAAGCGGTCGGGGAAATCAAGCGCCTCTTCGCAACCGTGCTTTGAAACATCATCAACAAACAAAATGGGAAAAGGTGGTCACGTTTAGCTGAAAAAAGTGGGCGTCCAAATAAATATTTTGCCTCCAGCGCGCACTAAATGCTGAGATAAAACTTCCATTGAGCTCAAGAGCGTGGTCATGCGAGAAGGAAGGTCTTCTATGCTGATTGATATCTGTGTCACGACAATTAACGCTGCTCTCCCCCTGCTCTGCCCCCCCTGTTTGCTGCCCAGCTCTCCGGCCCTTTCAACTGTGTGACTGGTGCAGCTGGCTCAGCGAAGCCGTTTTCACTCTGCATGTCTTCTCCAGAAACAAAAGGCGCAAAATATTCCTCAGCCAGGGGTTTTTTCCCAATATTTCTTTCACTTATTTCTTTTGTGCTTTCCGTCTTCAGCCTTCCTTAAAAATGTGATTCCTATTTCTGTCACAGCATCACCCTTCAGCCTGTCCTGGAGGAAGGTAACTTCTGCTGCTAAGTGAACCTATGAAGAATCGGGTCTCATCAGTTAAGCAAAGAAATGCCCGGTTGTCCCCCCTCCTCCCGTACAATGAGCTTTTACTCTCTCTTACCACAAGGGGACCCTCTTTCTCAGGTTTCATAAGAAACAGATTTCTCGATTGTTTTAAAATATCTTTCCCAACTAAGTTAATAAAAAGGAAGTTTATACACACTGGAATTTGTATATTACAGTACCCTTCATTCCAGTGCTTTGCTTTCTTCCAATAACCTAAATTGTCTACTTGATGATTTTGTGATCACAAGATTTCCTGGTCACGTACTAATACTTATGACATAACAGTTTTGTTAATTAGTCTTATATCAGATACTATATTTCTGAGCCTGACATAGATATATAATACTTGTACAGATTTTGTTTTATTGAGACATAAGATATATGACAAATTAGATATTGGCAGAAACATAAAGCAGCCCAACAATTTATCTTCCAAAAAATGCCACAGAAGCTCTACAACTAAGTGACTTTCAAATGATGCCCTTTGTTTATTCTTTTGCAAGAGTCTTAAATTTAAGAACAAAGTTTGGAATGCCATCCGAGACACCCCTGGTGCTTTGGTTTTAACATTATACTCATCCACACTCTGTTCTCCCTTTCAGCAGGTGCTGGGGTAACCTGGGAGTATCTTTACACGTTAGGAAGGAATCAGGGATGGCTATTACCAGTTACACCTATGCAGGAAAATGAGACAGGCTCAAGGAGCAGCAGGGTCGCCCAGCTTGCCCCCCCTGGCTCTCCCCAGTAGGTGTTAGCTGCCTGCCCAGTCCCACCAGGCTTTTGCACCCGAGTCAGCCGCTGAAGAGCTGAGCAGGGACGGGGTGGAGGTGAGCCAACCCGGGTTGCTCCTCTACCTCAGGATCCAGGATCACTCTGGCCCTCTCACATTTAGATATAGACATCGAATCTTCAACACCACTGAATTTCCTTCATTCATCTGAGCAAGCGGCTTTGTTTCCCTGCGCCTCTGCATGTTAACAAAGAATGGAGCAAACCGATTGTGCGCTTCCTTACCATTTCCAAGGCCCCTCGAATCACCCCACAGAGGAGGTTACAGTAGCAAAGGGACGCTCGTTCTGGTGGCAGCTCCTCCACGAAGTCCACTAGTGGGTTTTTGTCCAGGATTAAGGAGAATTCATTTCCTGCAGCACTACTGCAGCTCACCCTAGGGGTGACCCCAAGGTACATCTTGAAAGCAACCTGCAAAAGGATGAAAATTTACTGCTTGAATCTGTTGTTTGCAACCCAGAGGTGAGACTTTAGGATACCGCATTCTGTAGACCAGCTTTACCCCGGGAAAACAAGGGGAAGGGCCAGACAGGCTAGAAATCAAATTAAGATTTGTTCCTTCTGTGATCAGCTTAAGCCAGAGACGCAAATCTGGAGGTATTTAATACTCCAGGGAAGTGCAGTAGAAAGCTGTTTATTCCGTCTTTGATGTTCCTACATTTACAACCCCGTACAAAGTGGTTTTTCTGTTACCACTCATCTGCTTTCAGCGATGTCACACTCCCCTGGGACCGTTATGTTAGTTCCTTCACTACACCGCCAGCAGCTTTGATGAGCGCAGCCCAAGATCTCCCGCAACTGGCGGGTGCGCGTCTTCACTCTGATCTCCATCGGCAGCCACAAAAACAAAACAAAAAAAAAACCAAAACAACCACCCACCAAGAAGACTGCCAAGACTGCAGATTTATTTGATTCTGTGAAGCGCTGCTGGCTTTCCTTCTACCACCAGTGAACGTTGCTGCACATGTGCAAGATGTGCTTTGCTCGCGGAGGGGACCCCCGTGAGCGAGTTTCCCCAGGCAGCGACACCACGGCGTTATCCGGCCAGCGCGTAGGCAGGCAGGCTTGCAGAGGGCTCCTCTTCCTCTGGAGAGGTCCCAATCCCCTGCTAAACCCTTACAGACTGCTACGACGAAAGGCAGAGTGTCTGGATTTTTGCCTCCTTAGTGAATGTCAAACGTGGATGGTTTCCAAACAGCGTTGGCATTCTTCATGAACCAGAAAGCCGCGATAGGTTACGGTTTCATGGCGCTGCCGACAACGGGAGGCGAACGTGTGTTTTCTCTTGTTGCTTTCAGATGCCCCTACAGCCATGAAAACTTCATGTACGGTTTGGTATTTCTCTTATTCCCAGCTTTTGTTTTGCTAATTATTGGATATTTCTTGACTGGCAAGATCTGGAAACTCTTCAGAGGCTGCCGGCTGAATCCCTGAAAAATATTCCCCAGAGGGAACATTGCCATTTCTTTTATATCTTTGGACAAATCACTTTAAATGCTTTGGTAGACCCAGAGATGTGGCTTTCTGTGTCTTTGCTCAATGGGACTTTTTATGAATGTGCCACGAGTGGCTTGAAAAATCCTTCATACTTACATGCAGTTTGCCACAACAAATCTACCAAGTGTTTTGAAGAGCTACACAAGGTAATCTGTGACAAAAGCTCCATGCCCTTTCCAGAAAGTGATGAACTGAAACGAACTCTTCAAGCAAGTCCCAGGTAAGAAAAACAGATAAGGCAGTTTGCACTGCCACTGTGATTTATTTGTGGAAGATCGTGATGTCAGATGATAAGGCAAAACCATTGGTTTCAAATAAACAAAGTTTTGGCATGATGCAGCCTTGCAAAATACAATCAATCCATCTTTAATTCGGTTTGAGCTGTGCCATACTTTGTGGGGGGCCCCACCGGTGGCAGGATCAATAAGATCAGATAATTTAAAGCTTTCTTCCTGAATGAAGATTGCTCTAAGGAGAAGAGAACAACTGGATTGTTTAGGAGGCTGAATTAATAGATGTCACCCCATTAAAGGGGTCTGTCCTATTAAAGAATCCATACCATGCTCTCTTATTTTATACCATCATGATAACTGTAATGAAATCTTAGGTCACAAACAGTAGAAAAAATATTGGAGAATAAGACAGATCTGTGACTGCTTACATAATATGTTTCTGTTTGTTTTCCTCATGTTCATGCTGCTAGATGAGAGCATGTTTTTGTCCTACTTGGAAGAAGGAAGCAACACTAAAATAAAGCAAGCAGAACATGCAAAGCTGAGATTGCATTACGTTTTACTATATAAATGTGATACAGTTTTTCTCACTGCCTCGTAAGGTAAATAAATTCAGAGACAAAAAATCAAAACAAAGGGAAAAAAAAAAAAAAAAAAAAAAAAAACAGGCTACAGAAAATGATGGAAATATGATTGTCAGCAGGAAGGAAAAATACTCTGTGGAGCCAGCAATTTTTTGTCAGACAATTGTATCCATCTGGAACCATTTCCTCCCCAAGAGTTGGTTTTATTTTCAAATCCTTATGCAAATAGAACTGGAATGCAGACAAAGCTTGCACTCCAGACAAAGCAATTTATCTGAGAGTTTTAGAAGAAAACAACATAGTGCTTAAGACTTTAAGTTGTACGTATAGGAAATACTGTGTGTAGGAAATACTGTGTGTATAGGAAAGATCAGGGACTCAGTGTATAGCATGAGAATAGACGGGTTCATTCTCCAAGCTGTAAGAAAGTGAAAAGCTGCTAAAAAGAGCAGTTTCTCAAAGACCCATAGAAATTGTCAGTCAGTACAAAGTGACTGGAAAAATAAAAGACAGCAAAGCTATTCTTCCATACCAGCCCATAAGAATAATTGTCAAGCTTCTCTGTTTCACATATTCCCCCGAGGAAACTTTCTATATTCTCTCAGATAAATACAGATTTTTACTGGCAATTATTTTTTTAACATCAGTGCAAGAGTTCACATGAGAAAGGTTACAGCTTTCTATATCATCACCACTAAAGCATGGGATATTAGCTGCAGTTCATATAGGTCTCTGAAACCTAAAAGATTTGTTCCACACTGGAATTTGTTCCACTGTTTGAAAACAGGTGGGTTGTTTTTTTTTTTTAAATGTTACACATTGCAGTGCAGTAGGTGGGTAAAACCATTGGCTAGGCCAGTGGCACCAGGCATGACAAAATTGTGTTCACACCTCTGCTCTCCTTAGAGGAGAACATCCCACAGTAACAATTTCAAGCACATTTTTCCACCCTCAGCTCTTGCTCTAATCCTGGAAGTAGCTCTTTTAAAATGTTCTTAGCATAATTTTGTCAAACTCTGAGGTTGCTACAAAAAAAAGTTGAGTGATGCTGGAAAAGCATATTTCAGCAAAAACAAAGTTCTCTGAAGATACAGCAACTATTTCTAATCAGTGTGTAGATGAAGTGGGCTCTATTCCAGTGCCAACACAGACCTGACAATGCACACACTATTTTTTCTTTCTCGTGCACTCTTCTCCCAGCATTCTCACAGGACTGGGCAAGGAGGTAATTTTTAAACCAGTTTTGGCATAAAAACGATTTCCTACTACAAAGGGCTGATTCATCAAAGTTAAGAAAAGTTCACAAGAATAATATAGATTTCAGTGAATCTCTTGGTAAAAGAACTGGGGAATGCTTTTTAAATTCCAGATGATCTTTTATGTTCCTGATAGGTAATTGATGCCACTGGTTTCGGGTTTTTGTTTTTTGTTTTTTTTTTTTTAATTAAAAAGGAGTCTGAACACAACACATCTTAAAATGGTCACAGTTTAAAAGGTGGATTGATCTGGGACAAAAGTTACTTGCCCTTTTTGGCTTTGGTTTGTCACAATTCAGAATTGTGTCTTAATCCTAAATCTTGCTGGGTAATTTTATTTAATGCTTTCGGGAGATAGAAAGCCATTTATCATCTTGCGATGTTGATATTTTATTCTCCCTTTGCACTTTTTCCTTTGTGTGACAGACTTCGGTGAGCCAGTCCAAGGCACTACATGCCAGGGGGGTTATAGTTTTGCAATAAAGTCTCACCAATATCCTCTCTAAATTACTCAGACACTACTCCTGCTCTCAGGTCCACTCTGTTTTCTGTATAGCTCTATTCAGTCATAACATTACTTGATTGATCATTTAGACCTCCCATAGATTTTTCTTCATACAGAGTCTTGTAGTTGAGGTTTGATTCAAGATCATCTGTCCCTGAACCTGCCATTGCCGTTGTGTTGGACATGACTCTTCAGCTGTTGTTATCGGAGCTCCCTTTGTTGTAAAATAGGATGGGGAGGCAGCCAGATTCTAGTATAAGCCAACTTTTCTCGAGCGTTTTATCTTCCACTATAGAAATCAACCAGCTTTTGACATCTTCCTGAGGAAAAGACATCGAAACGAATGCTACTGAGAAGCCTCAATCTTGACACCTTCTGCTTCCCTTCGGTCCCCATATGGTCACCCCCATTAACACTAATGCCAGGCACTGGATGCAAACTGGGATGAGATGCCCACAGTAGAGTCCCAAGAGGAGCAGCAGGCTTGCTGTACAAAGTCAGACAGTCTTGATCTAAGTAGCATTTTCACTTGGGCCTTTTTAACCTGCAACTCATCTCTTTGGTTCTCCCAGATTTTAGGCTGGTGTGTGATTAGCTACCACAGCTCTTGTCTCCCTGCCAACCGCTCGCTGCGCCAGCTGCCAGCCAAAAGCCAGCCACCTTCAGCTGCAGTCCTGGAGGGTGTACGCAGAGAAGGAGAATGAGCAACTGGAGAAGATTTTCCAGACGTATGCCACCAAGCTGAACGAGCAAAATCTGAACTGCTTTTTTGAGACCACGGAGCCAGAAGCAATTTCCTTGCCGACTTTTCAGTCATGGGAAGCTGCTTCCCAGCTCTCTTCTTTCAGCAGTAACAAACAGCATTATAGCACAATTCACAGGCTAGTTGAAGAAGGCCAGAAAGAAATCAACAGGCAAAAAGAGATAGTTCTGGGCTTATGATCTGTCCTTCCTGGGAGGGAAATACCATAGGTCAGATATATTTTCAGCTTTTTAATACCCTGCTAATATAGCATACTTTTAGCTGGTTTCATCTCTATGTTTTTTCACAATGGCCTCCTTCTTCATCACGTTCTCTCCCAGTTACAAACTTGCTCCAAAAGGGTGGAATGAAACTATTTCCCTACATCAGTGAAAAGGCTGCAGTCCTCCATGGCAGCCAGGGTTCATGTTCTATTAATGCTTCTGGCTCTGTATCAAGAGCTGACAGCAAACAGAGATGAATAATGACTTCTACAAGAGAGTTTTAACAATACCCTACGTAGAAGGCGCTATAGTGTGCTCATCCTATGTAAATCAAGAGACTATCATAAAGTAACACCATTTAAAAGGTGTGAATACAGTAATAGAATATGTGTGTGGCTTTCCGACAGTCCACAAAAAGTAAAGGTTTTGCTTCCGGGTCATTTCCAAGCCATTTGCATCGTTTTGAGTCACCAGTGGTCACCCGAGGTATCTCAGCGTCTTGGCACTCCTGTGGCACCTAGAACACCACAGCTGCTCACAGTGACCAGCCCTGGTGTCTAGTCCCTGCGGCATCTGCCTGGGACATGGGGCAGTGACCTCCACTGACAGTGAGGTGCCAGGTAATTTTTTAGACAGACCTTACAACCAAAGTGTAGGATACTAAGAACTTGAAATTACCAAATGGTTCGGCGCTTTTGTGCTTTCGTTAAAAAATAACAGGCTGTTTTGAAACATAATCAGCTGCTTTTAGTGCTTTGTTACAATAATGAAAATGCAGCAGTGATATTTTGCCTCCATAACGTACTTAGTATTACCTTCTCCAAGTGACAAGTTCATTTTGTATGAGTATAAAGCTCTTGTTTTGAGTGGGTTTCGAGCACTGGGTGCATCCTGCAGAGTTATGTAACATTTTACTGGACCTGCTGTCATTGTATGGCAGAGGGCCTGGAAGGAAATTCCACATTTTAAGACAATATTTTTGCAGCAGGCTGATTTTCATTTTTCTGAGTATCTTAGGAAACTTGTCTGCAGCAAGAGGAACCAGAAGGGAGCACAGGTAAGACGACTGCACAATCGCTGATAAATGAATTTCACCCCAGAGCCCTATGCTTTACCTCACCCACTTGGAATTCACCACGCGGCTCTCACACAGAGAGCCCAGAGTCTTTGCAAACACGATATAAACTGAAGAACAAAATTTCTGCCAATTTTCTTTCCCTGGAGTGACTGGGCAGGCTTTTATGCAGCATTTTACTGCCAGTCTCCCTGAGTCTGTGAAGAATCATATTTCTGCTCTGCTTGAATCAGGCTCTTCTCAATAAACCAGGGTACTCTTCCCAGCTGTTCTCATAGTCACTGTGCTTCCTCCGCGGAAAAAAAAAAAAAAATCGATATGTATTTACAGACCATTAGTCTTCTTTAAAATAAAATTCAAAATTCAAGAGCTAATTCTATCTGCTTAGAATTCTCTCTGTGTGTTTTGAAGAACTTGTGGTCTTTGAGCGAATGTTTTAAAGTTTTTAATCCCAGCTAACCCACTCTGCAGCAGACTTAGAACATGTTACATGCCTAAATGTACCTGCTGCAGCTGAAAGCACAGAGGCAACACTACCAAAATGAAAGTCACAACAGCAGGCATGTCTGACACCATGTCCGGCACATACACATTTTTCTCCCCAGGCTCCTCCCCGGGTATAACAACTATCTAATTTGAGGGTACATGCCCCTTCCCATTTGTCTGCTTTTCTCTTTTTTTTATGAGAGATGCCCCAACATCATCTGCTCAGACCCATCTTACCTTGTCTCTGCCTGCAAGGGGAAAGGAGACACCACCTAACAAGATGTCCCACTGCCTGGGCCAAACTTCCCTTCCCTAAGCCATCTTTCCACCTCCTTCCTCACTGGTATCATAGAAAACCAGAGCAAGTAGGGCTGCAAGGGGGAGGACACTAAGTAGGTTAATAAGCTGATCAAGGAATATGGGAAACAGGTGGGTTGATGTAAGGATGAGGTCTCCACTGTGACATAAGAGCTGGGACACAGAGGCAAGAGCATAGTTGGTAGAGGGAGAGGTGGGAGGACAGAAGGTTCCCACTTTGGGCTTTTAGCACTGTCCTGGGTTTGAGTGAGTGGTAGAGTTTTTTGGTAGCAGGGGAGGGGACTGTAGGGGTGGCCCCCTGGGAGAAGCTTCTCGAAGATCGCCCAGCTCCAAGTTGGCCCCACCTCTGTTTGGAAACTGAGCCCATCGGCTGCGCCTCTGCGATAACGTATTTAAGAAGGGACGTGGTGAGGAGCAGTGGGACTTGTGAGGAGGAGTTGCTGCAGCTGCATGAACAGCAAGGTCAGTGGAGGAACGGAGGAAGAAAGGAGGGGGGAGGTGTGCTGGAGCAGAGACCCCCCTGTATCCTGTGGTGAGACGGCAGGGCGGCCCCCCCCTGCCACCCATGGAGATCTACGGTGGAGCAGACATTGATTTATGGCCTGTGGCTTCTGCTTGGTATAATCAAGGTTCTGTGCCCGAAGAAGGCCGGGGCCTCATGGGAAAAGGCAGCCCCGCTGCTGTAATTCAGTGCTGGGAGGATTGCAGCATGCGGGGGAGTCCCACGCCGGAGCAGCTCGGGAAGGGCTGCAGCCGTGGGAGGGAATCCAGTCGGAGGAAGTTGGTGACCCACGATGGAGTAGTGTAAGGAAATGCTGCGGCCCGTGGGAGGGACTCATGTCAGAGAAAGTTTGTGGAGGACTGTCTGCTGTGAGAGGGGACCACAATGGAGCAGGGGGAACAAGTTCCAGAAACTCCCCCCACTGAAGATAAAAGAAGCGGCAGCACTGACTGCACCCCCCATTCCCTGCCCCTGCGCCACTGGGGGAGGAGGTAGAGATATCGGGAGCAGAGCTGAGCCCGGGAAGAAGGTAGGAGTGGGGGGGAAGGTGTTCTCAAGATGTGGCAATGCTTCTCATTGTCCTACTCTGTTACGTGTTGTTAGTGTCTGTAATAAATGTATGTTCTTTTTTTCTTCCCCTAACGAGTCTGCCTTTTGCTCGTGACCATAAAGGAGGATTTTTTCCCCATCCCAGTCCTATCTCAAACCCCAAGCCTGGATCTCTGTCCCTTCTCATTGCCAGAAGAGAAGGGAAAGTGTCTGCATGGTGGTTGGCTGCCAACCAGGTTCAACCCACGACAGGCACCCTCTTTTTCCTAGAGGAGAAAGCTCACAGTTCTGAACCTGAGTAGCCAGGACCATCTGAAAGAGGAGCGCTTCCCGACCTGACCTTCTCCTTTACTATGGAGGGGCAAAACCAAAGTGCATTCTTCTCTCTTCATCCTCATCCTGCCTCGTGCTCACAGGTTACTCATGTTGAGAGTGTCTCCACCTCCAACAGCAGCTGCCAAACACTCGGTGCTGCAGCCTGTGCCTGGTAGGAGCCTGTCTCCCACTGACCCTCGTTCCCACGGCTGTGTTACTCTAACTGTGTTGTCTTACCAAAATGCCTGTGACTTAATGCAGTTGCCATCTGGATGCTGGAATACTTCTATAAAAACAGACAAAATAAAAGCCATATGTTTTCAACTGAAGTCTGGTTTTGGCAAATTTAACCCTGTCCTTCAAGCATCTATCTCAAAAGTTGGTTTGTATCAACATTGTCCCTGAATTAAAGTTCAGTAGCTACCATGGCAGCTCAGAAAACTATCGTGGATGCTATCCAAAACAAACTGGGGCAAGAAAAGCCCAACAACAAAACAAACAAAACCCAACAACAATAACAAAAAACACACACAAAAAAAAACCTACAACCAACCAAGCAAACAAAAAATCCCAAACCCACAGCAGAATCAATATTTTCTCTTGGAAAATATATATTTTGCATTAATTCTGATGTACATCAAAATATGAGTGAACAAATAAATACGAAGTTTCTGTTCAATTCTCTGTGCTTTGTCACTCAACTTGTTATTTCTTCTCTGTGCAAAGCCAGTTTTCTCATTTAAATTCTCTTTAACTTTTCTGCTACACATCTGCTGCTCTGTCAAACTTCACGTCTTTGTTACAAGAACAAAAGCTGGTTAACTGTGCTAGATCCTCATATGCTTTCAGTTTGGTTTCAGCTGTACTTTGCATTCCGGTATGATGAATTTGTCCAAATTCTATGGTTAAAATTTTCTGTGTAGAAGAGAACTTGAATGGAAACTATGCAAAACAAGTAGCTGGTTTGCAATAGAGCGTCAAATTAAGGCAAAATTGCAAAGCTATAAAGTGAAAATTGTAAAAAAAAGTCTCAGAAGAAAAAATAATTTAAGTACATACATAAATAATTCCATTAATAGATATGAACATTTTTTTTTTAAACCAGGCTATGACTAGACAGAAATTCCTTTAAAACTACTATACACAGCTTCTCAGAGGGTAAAACAAAGGTCTTTTCAGTCTTTCTTTGTGACTCCAAAAGACAGGGAAGTAAAACAAATGAGTGGTTTTGAAAGTTGCATCTATAAATCTGTCTCATTTCTATCTATATGAAATGGAAGAAAAAAGAATATCTACTTAGACATGTACATAGGCTCACCATCAAAATGACACCCATATAAAGCAAAATCTCTCTTTTGAAAATGTTACTTGCAACTCTATGGGATTATATACTGTCAAATAAGAAAACTATGCAGTCAGAATTAAAAATTTACCTCTACTCTTTTTCAAAGTGTCAATCAGCATCTCATCTCTCTCATGCAGCAAGAATAAAATTCATTAACATTTTGATGGCACTCAAATACAGTCTAGAATTCCTGGAATATTGAGGAGGCCATATTTAGGAGGAACTTATCAGTCCCGTTATATACTGCTGGAGACTTTTCACTACAAAACATTGTATGCATAAATAATGTTGCAAAGACAATGCAGACTGTTAAAGAAATTGAAAGCATGATTTCAGATGACATAATAACAAGATTAATGAAGGACCAGAATTGATCTGCTTAGAAGGGGAAAGGCAGCCAAAATAACACTTTTGCTAGCATACTTTTCATTCTTAGTACTTTTTCAGAGTCAGTTTTTGGGAGGAACAAGATGCTTTAAAGGTCTTGCCATCTGTTGCTGATGCCATGTACTCACAAACTTTCCTCTTTACAGTGCAGCACTTAATTTTTCAGTTTACTGTATACCACTTAGCAAAGCAACCTGCTGTATTTCCCCCCTCACTGTTGAGATTTCAAAAGCAACACTGACCAGCTTCGTAAATTCTGTCAGACTTTCAAACTGGCCATGTGTCAATATATACGAACCTTGTGTGGCAGGACCTCCCATGGGAGGGGGAATCACACCTCTTGCCCTACAACTCCGGGCTGGGGGGGGGAGTGACACGGTTGGATCACCCCGGCCTTGGGGGTCCCCAAGGGCCTCTCTGCAAGCAGCTGCAGAGATATGTGTTTGCTGCATTCATGGGCTACTGAACTTCCACCATAAAGCCCACCTCTCCAGCCACTTCTTTCCGCCTAGGGATACAGCCTTAGGCACAGCACCGAATTCACAGGGCTATGGAGCCTGTGAGCTCACTGTGGACCAGAGGGCATGGCCCGGCTGCCCCCCACCTGCAGCACACACAGACACCTCCTGGGGCATGGTGACTCTGAGCTGTAGAAGGTAACATAGTCCTAGGATTAGATCTAAAACCAGAAACTGGTTTTTTGCACCCCTTTTGATCACATCAATGATGCTAGAGGTCTCACGAGAAAGGAATTAAAGTAAAAAACTTGATTTTGTAGGATTATAGAGCAAAATTATCACTCTCATTTCAAAAGCAATCCTCAGTAATACCCAGATCCAAATTCTGAATCCAGACTTGGACGTTACTTCTTCAGCTGAGCTTTGTTCTTAATACAATTCCTCAACTGGTTTCAGTTTTCTTATCCCAATTTGCCAGTGAGCAGAACACCTACTTTTACACAGCCTGTTTTATCTTTTTTTTTTATTCTATCCTAACCGTAACTATGCAGAGTCACAGCACCAACACAAGAAGTCAGCGAGCACCGCAGGATCTCAGTGTAGAAGGGCTCACTTTGGCCTATCACCAAAATTTGCTGGCCCTTCTCCAGTCCAATATAAACTAGCAGTAAATCTCAGGCTTTGCAGTCTGAACAAGTGGTAGAAGTTTTAAGCTCTCAGTCACTGCCTTAGGTGCACTTTTCCTCCAGTATTTATTTCTTAATACGGCAAGCTGGCTTTGTACTCTTCATTTTATTTTTTTTTTCCTTTGCTTCATCTCTTTCCATTTCCACAGGGAATACCCACAGCCTAATTTTGCAGACTTCTCCTTTGCTTTCCAAAGAACTGCGAGATAATAGCTGTGTTGACAGTAAGTTTGGCTCTAACTACTAGGACTACTTAACTGCCTTAATTACTTTAACTTTGAACTGGTTTTACTCTGCAGACCCATCCTCAAACAGATTTCTACCTCAGAAGAGTAAGTGCAGTTAAGTATTTAAGCACTTCCTCCTTGCTAAGAACGTTATTGCCGAAGACAGAAAGAGATCATGTAAACAGGTGTGTAATTCTGAACTGATAACTTTAATAGCGTATTTGCAATTACTTGCTGAGTCATTTTACATATGCCTTGTTGGGATGTGCCTCAGACAAATGTGCCGCGAGACTATTTAAAAAACGTTTTGCCAAAGAAATGTGAAAACGTTTTCCATATCACACTTTGCCTCAGAAGGTTATACTCCTACTACAGAACTCCTCTTTTAGTTTGCTAAAAATAGCCTTTTCAAGAGACCGTGTGCTTTAAAGTTTGTTCTGATCTTTCCAAGGAATTTTATTTCTCTCAGTAAGTCTCTTTTGAACTACAGCTTGCAAAGAAATAGTGTCTTTTTCCTTACTTTGATGGTTAACTTCTCACCGTATTTTGTTGCTGAATCCCCTGTACTTATGCATGATGGTTCAGCTGTACTGAAGCATTTGTAAATAAGGGAACCATGAGGAATAAGACCCAGAAAACCAGATATCTGGCATATATGTGAAAATTCAGAGCAAATAAAGTACAAATACCACCCGAAGAAGAACACAAAAGTGATTTTGCAGCCTGGTATAATTCTTTTAACAAGACAGTGTATTTTAACACGGTGACTGAAATGCTGCTTGTCTCACGGTTTTCATTCAGCTGCCCTCACCATCTCCAACGGATCCCCTACCCTAGCTCAGCTCCTCCAAAGGAGGAGCTTTGTTATACATTATCCTGATTCGAGACTCCAAAAAATACACCAGACTCCAGGAAGAACTTTAGTTTCCACTCTTTTATAAGCTAATGGCATCTGACTAGGTTTTTCGTCATGTCACCTGCTTCTGCTTTAAACTTTGGCAGACCATGGTGCGTGGGGGGGGGGGGGGGGGGGGTTGTGCTGATGTGCACTTTATGTCCCTACCAGCACCAGCGAAGGCAGAGGTCCTTTCCCTCCATCTGAGGCAGTTCCTCTGTGACAAGTTTTGGAACGATAACAGAACTCCCATCCTTCCATTTCAGTCAGACTTATCATAAGTATTTCTGACGTGGCTAATGTGAGCAGGACCACACATCGCCCGATAACACCCGCGTACACTGGGAACCAAGAGACTCCTGTGTGACCAGCACACCCTGCTGCCTCAGTCCACCGCGTAGAAAGCCCACTGATTCCCAATTTGGCAGTCAGTTAAACATAATGCTCACACTTAGCTGATGCTGCTGGTAATTCTCAAGCAATCAAAAAGTCTGCCAGACATACTCTTGTCTCCTCAAATGAGCCAATGGAAATGAATCTCAGTTCAATTAACTGATACCCTGATCTCTCCTCTTAAAACAAACGACTACCTAGCAAACAGTTCTTTGTTCTAAAGCGTGATTCATCTTTGCCAGATTGAAAGGCCAGGCATATCTTCACTGGCAACACTTCACAGCTGAAAATCATAAAGGATAAAAGGGATCATTCACCATGACCTGAGCAGGTGTTAGTCTGAGCTAACTCAGTATCCATGGACCATCGCCTCCTCACAGTGACTCAGCAGACTAAAGGGGCTGGATGTCCTACGGATTTCTTTTTGAGCTTCCCCAGGAAATCTGACTTGCCCATGGGGGCAAAACCACGTCTTTAGAAACCTGTGTATTGACACTGAATTTCCTCCTAGATCTTTCTTCTCTGACGGTAGTGTGAAAAACTAGTCAATAAAAGGGAAATTTCCATCAAAGAAGGCAAAAGTACCCACTGTTTTTATTATTAGATTGGTGGGTAGTGAGGAAAATGTCCCTCTCATTTTCCTTTCTTATAGTTCTTCTCTGCTACCACAGAGTCTTCCTTTTGCAGAATATCCTGCAGCTTATTAATATTACCATTTTAAGGTTAAGATCTGTATGAGATGGTTAAGGCTTATGATCCCAGAAAAAGGAAAAAAAAGGGAGGGAGTATAAGATTTGAAGTTTGTTAAAACTGAATCAGTTTTTGTTGTTTGCTGCATTCTCTGGCAAGAGTAGAAGAAATCATCTTAAGCTGCAGCAAACAAAAAGAAACTTTTAAATTCCTCTAATGGAAGATCACCTCATACGCTACTAGAAGTAGCAGAATTTTAATTTCAGCTTAGCAACTGACTTTAAGGTCCATTTAGGTCAGGGGTTGACAGCCTATCATAGGTAGTAACCCATTTCGTGTTCTCTGTCCTCAACTCAGATATAGAACTAATACCCATGTGAACAAATTCTGTGGTTCTGACAACCTTTTGTGGTAAACTTACCACTGCGTGTTTATCAAGACCACCCACAAATTTCTTATCTCACTAAATATCACATTTTTTGTGTTCTGTTGAATGTTGTGGGCTTTTTTTCCCCAGCCTGACGTAGCAGTGTGCTACAGAGGTAGAACCTGATGTCTCCTCTCAAGGTCAACCTCTGTGAGCTACTAGTTGATAGGAAGTTGTTGATAAAAGAAAAGGCTGCATTTCAGACAATGGGAGCACGGGTGACTGTGGAGATGAGTGGGTTTTGATAAGACAATTGTGATGTAGCAGAAAATGTAGGTAACAGTTCTGGAGCAAACTGGTTAGGGAGGAGGGAAGAGCTAAGACCAGTGAAGCTGATGAAGCTCTAGAGAACGTAAATCCTATTTACCTGTGCAATCATCTCTGCGGTTTCAGAATAACTGCGGCACTTCTTCACAGCTGAACGAGCTAAAAAATCATCAATCAGCCTTACACCAATGCTGTATCCCCTAAGGAGAAAACCAAGAAAGTTAACATTCAAAATGGGGAACTTCTTTCCACCTACCATCTCCCTCACCTGTCTCTCGTGCTTTCTCAGCAGAACAGCTGTATGTTCCTAAATGAATGGCTTTGAGGACAACAGGTTTTGCTGGTCTAGATTATTTTTTCTACCACATTTTGCAGCACAGTGGGATTGCTGTTCATGTAGTCATTTAAGGAATCATAATCCTTTAAGCATGATAACTCCTAGCAAGGATGATATGAATGTTGTTTATATGCACACTGCCTATACATACACTTACATTTACACACATGAATAAATATTAGATGTTAGATATATGAGTTTAACATATGAATAATATACAAATAATACACCTGATTAATACTACCTTGTCACTAAAAATAGGATAGGGCAACATAGCACAGGATTTTCTCCATTCCTCTCTGATGCTGAGAGTTCCTCTCACACAGTCTCTGCCAAAGAGAAGGAAGCAACTGCCCCTTCCCATCACAGCATTCACCTCTGGGCTGGTACGGAGTCCAGCAAATCACGGGCACCCTCATTGCAGCATTCAGGTGCCAGGAAAACCCACAGGCAATGGACTCACACCCGATCTCTTTCGCTTTATCCTATTACGTCTTCACCTCATTTTTCGTTCTTCCTCCACAATTCCCTCTTTGACTTTTTTCTAACCTGTTATCTCCCTTCATCTACTAGTTGCAGAAAGAATCCAAAAGTTGCTAGTTAATGTGCAGTTTCGGTACAATACCACCTTCCTTTTATATTTAAAACACTACAATTTCAGAGAAATTAAATAAAAAAGAATGGAAGCTAATGGAATTTTTTATAAAATAAATATTTACTCCTAGCTCTCACACATTAACGAAGGTCAGTAATTACACAGTGTGCAAAATAGCTATGCCTCCAAGCATTTTTTGAAAAGGGAAAGAGATTGACACAGATGTTATCAAAGAATGTGAACTTAATTCAGAAATGTTGTTAGGGAATTTTTTTGTTTCCATTTATGTGGATGTTGGCAGTCCCTGCTTGTTTGTCAGAAGCACTACACCCTCAGTGAAGCAGCCTGAACTCGATGGAGCTTCTTACTGATTTTGTACCACGTCTTTGTCAAGAAGCCAAAAACTGATCTGATGTCTGATGTGATGACAAGACCAAAAAGTAGTTTTGGCAACATGAAGTTTAAAATTGCAGTATGTCATGCATCAAAAAACAATGAAATATTTATTTATTGCCTAAGTATCAATATCAGTAATGTTGCTACATATGTCATCAGCAGTTAGCAAGGTATTTATTAGTGATGCACATGACTATTTAGATCCTTTTCAACTTTTATGCCTTAAATTTGCAAAGTCAAATGAATAATAAGTCGACAAGCAGCTATTTGGCAACGGTACAGTGACAAACACCATTCTCACTACGGATTATATATGTACATAGATATAGAGAGAGACCTAAGAATACTGTTCTTAGCTGTCACATGTCTGCTAATCTCTAAAGTTTCTTCCTCAAGCTGAGCTGTTTTCATTTTCACAGAGGTAAAGTTGGCCATACTGCTTTAATGAAACCTATTGCTATTTTATCAAGTCTTTATCAAGAGAAAACCAAAAAGCTTTTATAAAAACAGCTATAATAATAAAACCACAAGAAGCAAAATGTCTCCACATCTTCCAAAACTACCCCCCAGTAATTTCTACCATGGCATCAGAAAGAAGTCTGTATACTTTTTCATGTGTGAGTTTCATCAGAGCTGAATGAGGGATTAATATCAAATAAATGTCCAAGGCGTGTCCCTTCCTTGGCAGTGAATACATTATTTTTGGTTTTTTTCCAATCAATGATATTTTTATTCATTTCCATCGATAAGTATTGGACTATGGCTTGTTTGCAAGCTTTCAGATTAATCGCAAAGTGGCTACTTTACTGTCCACTGTGATTGTTGTAAACCCATTTTTCATGTCTGTTTTGCCTGAAAACACAAGCCTTGCTCTTCTGCTGAAGATCTCAGTGTATCTTCTTGTTAACTAGCACAAAAGTAGTTTCTTGCTGATTTTCCGTGATATTATTATTTTTACTGTGACAACGCCTAGGAATCTCGGTGAGGATGGCAGGATCCTCTAAATACAGGAGCTTCATTTTCCAGAGAGGTTCTCCATGTAAAAATCAGTTCCTCACTGACCATCTGTGCTATCTCACTCATTGCTGTAGGGGCTTTCAAAGGCAAGAGGCGCGGCTGCCCCTACCCGGGACGGGGGAAGAGAGCCACCCCACTGGGGACAATTCAGAGCACCCACGTCAGACACCTGAATTACACCCTCGGCGAAGGTGACTGACTGCCAAAGGGGTCTGCCTCTTGACTGAGTCACCCAAACCAATCCCTACAACCTGGAGTTGTGACTACTTAACTGCCCAGGTCACAAAACCACAGTGTCACTTAGACAAGGGGGAGCCACGGGAAGGCCACGGAAATGCACGTTGACTAGAAAAAACCCGTGAGAAAGAAAAAGATTGTCTAGTCTGAAATAACATGGGTATGAAGAAATAGAAGAGGAGAGTCAGCATGGAAGTTGAAAACGAATACCCGGAAATAGGAGACAAAATTTAGAAGTTTATGTTGTTAATTATCTTAACAAAGGACCAACAAGGAACAAGTGTAAGCTGTCAAAACAACCCTGACACTTTTCTTCTGAGAATTCAAAAGCTGATTGTTGATCTTCATTCACAAATTAGTGTTATTTCTGTTGACAGAATATTGAACCTTATCCCCGTGATCTCTCTAATTCTAGACAGTGCTGGCACTTATGATGGACATAAAGCTGAAAGGCAACATACAGGTGGACAAATAGCATTATCGATAAAGTTGATCATTTAAAGCAGTACTTACATTCTATCTAAACAGGTATTGACATCTTCATCGTTTTCATAGTCCTCGCACAGCTGGGCTACCAAAGCCCCATACGTCAGTACAAAAAGTTCTCTGCTCTGCCAGAAAAAGTGGGAACAGAACATGAAGCGAAATAGAATCAAACTTTTTCACGCTTTTGAGCTGCTACTGTAGAAAAGTGAGCAAAAATAACATTTACATTAAACGAGAAACTTTTGTCCATGGATGTGTAATCACTGAAATCCACAATTCAAATGTGACAGGGTCTGACTTGGTCATCACCTGAGTCCCTGTGCAGGTATTTTTCTTGTCAGAAATACCATTTCTTGGGATAGAGCTACTTATATCAGGTGCATTCTTGCATCCTGTAGCAGTGCATATGTATGTTGGATTGATAAATGCTGTCAAATGCCATCTAGGATTAATGACAAGTGTTTAGTTGCAGGAAGAATAATTGAGGCAATGATCTATTAGTCCTTTTATAATAGGAACAACAGCGTATACACTGAAATTCCAGTTCCTTCACAAAGGTATGGATGATCTGATTCAGATCATCACCTGCTTTCCTCCCCCCACGCCCCCCCAAAAAAAAGTAGATTAAAAAAGATTAGCTCAGAATAATGGAAAAAATACTGTAATTTAGCACAAGTGTAAAGAATAACAAGCAAAGTAGAAAAGAATCAGCCACACTGACATTTCCCCTTCTTTATCAGACTTTACAAGTCACTGAATCGCTCTCAATATCAACTCTCCAGATGCCTGGACAATCTCACTGTGATGTTATTTCTGTATCTTAATACAGAGGACGTGGTCGATATGGCTCCACTGCACGGGCAAGATGAAGGGGATGGGTGAAGATGGGCAGCAAGGAGCACGGAGAGCAACAGAAGAAGTCAGAGGTGTATCCCTGCACAGATCCTGTCACAAGTACTAGTGTGGGATCTTCAGCTGTGCACCAGCCTGGAGGAAGGATTTCTTCCATCCCTGCCCTGCCAGATCAACCCCGTGGCTCCGCAGAATTGACTGTATTTAGCAGGAGTAGCAGCGGGTCTTTAGGGGAGAGACTCTCATTAAACCTCTTGGACAGGAATTAATTAAAGGAAGTACCACTGGCCTGTGGCCCGTGGGCAGGCTAAAGATGTTTTCTGTTTATAGCCTGTGGAAAAATAACAGTGAAAAATACCAATGAAAACAATAAAACAAATCACACAAGGAAAGGAAGGCTGGCTTAGTGGCAGGACTTCTTCCTGCTCCCATTGCATCAAAAGCTTGGAGTTTAATCAATGGAGTTTAATCATTTTAACAAGTCACTGCTCAAAAGTACGGAACTATTTCCTAAACTCACCTTGATGGTAACTCCTGTTTACAGTAATATTGCACACTGATAAGTTCTCATTAACAATTTTTTAATGGAGTAAATGGATGTCATACAGGTTCTGTATTGTTCTAGTCTCAGCAAAAAGTCTGTGTTGTAATAAGACAAATACTTTAGAGAAACTTAAGCATGCTATACCAACATAATTATATTTATCAGCCACTCTTGAAATCAGTTGGAGTACTTTTTTCCATAAACTTATGTATATTAACTTTAATTATATTATAGTCTCCTTTTTTTTCAGTGCAGATCCCCTTTTCAGATATGGGCAAGACATTGTCCTAAAGCTTTCTGGAACTTCTCCACCGCCCCACTTCCTAACAAAAACCACCATTAACCATCCAGACATCCCTTAAGGCTCCAAGTGCCTGAAGAAAGACTTGTGTGGAATTGAACCATCTAAATAAAGAACAGAGCTCTCATTGTGTTTCATTTAATGACTATCTAACCACAGAGGCACCTAAACTTACCTAGCATTTCTATCTTTGACCATAAATCTCTCTAAGCACTTAGACCTCTGCTTCTGAACAGACCCCAGTCTCAGAAACTTTGTGCCCATCTTTCCTAAGCCTGTTCAGAATCTCAGCACTAGGGATAAAGTTAAAAAATGCAGTTAAGTGCCCAGGGAGTGGGACAGTCACTTTGTTTTTGTTATCAGTCTTCTACAGTTGTCTATGTTCTCTCTTCCTTAATAGCAACTTCCGCTCTCTTCAGTTTGTTATACATATGTACACATAGATACCTGTGTCATAATTATACTTTTAGATGCAAGCATATTCTCCTCAAGACACAACATTACTTTTGAGGTTTTTAAACCACTATGGCCTTATTTTCACATTATGGCACTTTGTTTTTTTGGACTTGTCATAAAATATCCCTGAACAGTTAGAAATTTTCAATCACAGATCGAGATTCTGAGGAAACTTGCTATCTGAATTTTTCGTATTCAGACATACCACTGCCAGAGAACAAGAAGGAGAATAAATGGTACCTTTAATGGCACAAAATACTGCTTTTTGTGACCACGCAGTTTAAGAAGGCCTTTTGAGAAAATCTTGCATGCAGTATATTTAAAACAGTTGCTGGAGCTTCATGAGAATTTTAACATGAAGTGCAGAAAAGGAAGAAAGATATGGTCTATATAACTTCTACTTGATAGAACTCTGCACTATCTGATCAATGGTCAAAGCCAACATTTAAAGACAAGGGTAACAGTTTTACTGTCGTTCCCCCAAGAATCAGATTTTGGCCTTAAAGCCAGATGTTGAGATTCTGTGATGGTGCACTCCCTGTGCATCCAAAAACTGCAACATTAGGAGGATGAAGAAGGACGCCTGCTCATGCAGCAGAACCCCCAAAAGAAGACATAGTCCATGAGGCAGGGGGAACACGGGGGTACCAGGTATGCTGCAATCCCAAATAAACCATCTCTTCCTGTGACTGTTCATGAGGTAAAGATGTGACCGGTGCACGCCTTTCCTCCAAAACAAGAAGGGAGTTTTGGCATCAAGGATTCATGCTGAGGGCAGGACTGTCTGAAAATCATTGAATGTCATAGGCAAGGTAGATGGAGAGATATGAAGGCTCCTAGAGCAAATCTCAGTATTACTGCTCAGAGACTCCAGGTCCTATGGACAGGCTTTTTCATGTCTCTGCTTAATAGCTGGCAGCTTGTTGGCAGCTTACAAGGGGGTCCCACTGTCGCCATAAATGCTGCCAGGGCCTCTGCTCTCACGCTGGCAGACTCATTCCCATCCTTTCAGTACTTTGAGGCTATTCAAAAATATGACTGTATAAACCACATCAATACAATAATAGCTTATTCTTACTCCATGCACGATTCTAATTGCACATTACAAAAATGTCTTACTATTTTGTGGTTCTCCTGCTTTCTTCCTGGCGGGTGAGACATGTTGCTTGTGTCACACCTGACGTGCTTGATTGTCAGTTTATGTCTTCTCTTCCTCAAGCAGCATAGTTTTCTCTCAATCACTGTGTTTCCTCCTTCCCTTCTCTAAAGTTTTCTCCTTTCTGCTCTTCTGCCGTTTGCATGAGCTGTGTTTGCTGCAATCTGTAATGCTGCTGATGCTCCTCCTATTGTGTACTAAGCCCGTTGGGAGGAATTTCACTGGCAACAGATCTGTCCCTGTACAACACAAATAACTGCTCCATCCATAAGAATGATTTCTAATCAAATACACAGCAAATAGGCATAGGAAGTCAAACTGGGCAGCCTCAAGAGATTCACAGGTCTTAGGATTTTAGCGACAGCAAATACATTCTGTTGTTTGTCAGGTTTTGGTGTCTGGAGAGTTAACAAAAGCTCCCTCTCTGAAAAAAAAAAAAAAAAAAAAAAAAAAAAAAAGCGAGATACTGCTGCATAAGGTAATCAAAAATTCATCATTTTCAACTTAAAGGAGCAATAGTCTTCTCTCAGCTCGGAGCGCTTTAGGCTGGTGAGTTAATGTCTGCCGAGGCAGGAGCGGTAACGGGTTACAAGGCACCACTACCACCACGTTTCTGCAAAGCCGGCAGGACAGACCTAGAGCACCCACCTTCCCAGAGGAATAAACTGTGGACCTGCTACAGCTGCCAGCTTGTGCAAGTGGCACTTTCATTAATAGTGTTTCTAGGGCATCTTATATCATTCTTAACCTATTATAACCCCTATTCGTAAACATCCTTGCTATGAACATCCAGGAAGGTTTGGCTTATTTTTTCTGTTTTCCCCTGAGGTAAATTTGGCCTATTCTGTTAGTTTAGATTTGCAATAAATTTAGACTATGGTCACTAGTGTATTTAGAAATTATTCAGGAATCTTTCCTTTTAGGACTTATCTCCACATATAACCCCACTGAGTCCTCTCAGGAAAGGAAGTAAAAATACATGGCCTCATCTGAATGCCATGCTGTCATAAAATTTCAGTTAATTAACAGACTTGGTGCTAGAGTAAAATTACAGGTATTTACTACTCCAGATACACAGAATGCATCAGATGTGATTTTGGGGGGGATAAAAAGGACTAATTTACTTTAAAATATGGCAGTTTAAAGTTATGCCACAATTCAACAACAAAAAAATAGGATAGATAAAAGGATTTTCAGTTTTTTCTATGGAAAACATAGTCATCCTAACAGCTTTCATTTTACACAGAATGAGCTGGTGTTGACAACTTACACTATAATAAGCCTCTTCCATTTTTTTCTAAGCACTTTTCCGGCCCTGTAAAATCTGACTCCATTTTATAAATAAAACGATTATAGGTTCTCCCCATATCTAAATTTAAATAAATTATAAAAGCAGGACATTACAATTCTCTAGATAGTTACTTGCATTTCTAGATTGAGTCTGAGATGGTTTTGTTTCTCAGATCGTCTCCAACTGGTGACAAGCACCAAATATTGCAAGAGACATCCCATGTTCCATAAGAAAGTTTACTGCGATGCATTTTAAAAAATAGCTCTAAAAGATTATCATTAGCATAATTTAACTGCAGTGAAACCATCACAAAGCACTTAAGGCTACCCATAAATAGTCACCATTTTATTTATCCAGTTCTGAATATAAGGATGAATTACTTCTGCATGCATTACTAATACTACAATCACGAAGGAACACTGTGGACCAGACGGTGAAATGAGTGGTAAGAATACATCAGCACTGTTTGGAAAATACATACCTGCACACATATATACACATAAATTCACACATATAATAGGATGTATTAGGTAGAACGTACTACATCTTGACAGGTTTGCACACGACTGAGAAAATGAAGCTGGAATGGTGTATCCAAAGAAACCGGGGATTCAACAGCTTCAGGGAGGAAAACAAGCCACTGGTGGACTGCATTCACATCTTCAAGAAGAGAACAAAACCACCTTCTTAATACCCAAGAAGGTTGGTCTGGCACATTTCTTGAGCATTAGGCTACACCAGTTCTCTTAATTCCCATTAAACTGAAAAAAACCAAAACAATACAAAAAAAAAACAAAAACAAAAACCACAAAATATATCCTGAAATTCAAAAGCATGCATAAAAGTGTGCACCAGCACTCTGTCTCTAATAGTGGGCTGGCTATTACGGGAAAGGTGAAACCTGTAGATCTCTTTAATAGTCCAGTATCTAAGGATTCTCCCAAACATGAATATCCCAGAGCAGAGTGCAACATAAAGATCAGTAATGAATTAGGTGTTAAATGCCTTAAAAAATACCTAAAATACCTACAAAAGTTATTTGAGACAAAACAAGAATACACTTGTCACAAAAGACGGGTGTCCAAATTAGTAAAATACAGGATCAGGCTTTTGTTTGCTCTCCATCTCCAGCTCAATAGAATTGTGTTAAATATTTCACTCACAGAAAACTGAATCCTTTCAAATCGCAAGATGGTAGGTGATGGGGGTTTGCAGGTACATGAAGAAAAAAAAGAAAAGTACTTGAAGACAGGTTTACAACATCACAAATAAGTGCTTGTACTCAAAGCCCAGTTTGGCTGCTGCTTCAGCCGTGTTTCAGAATAAAGCGGTGCCACTGCTGCCTCCTTGCCTGTGGTGCCCTGCCTGAGAAGGATTTTCAGCTCAACCTGCTCAAAATTCTTTGGTTAAGTTAGGCATCTCAGAAACAGTTTTCAAGGGGGCGTGCTTTGATTTGGGTGCCTACTTTCTGCTGAAACTCACCGCGGGCACCTGAAATTTCACATAAATTTGCCTATAAAGCACAGCTGAATCCTGAAGCAAATGATGTGAGTTTAAAAAAAAAAAAAAAAAAAAAAAAAAAAAATCATTAACAGGTTTCTATTCTTCCTTAACATAAAGCTTATTGATGATTTTCACATCAGTGCTTGGCCTGGTTAAGGGGAGAGGAACTTCTCCCTAAAAGTCCGTGAAAACGACCGAAGCCTGAAGCCAACCTGCGACCAGGCAGAAGGCAGGACGCGGGCAGTGCTCCCACGGGAAATCTGTCCTGCCTGTACTTTCATCGGATGCTCTCTAACACGCACAGGCAGGCTTGACACCCATGCAAAACAGAACCCAAAATGCAGCGAGAGGAGGCGCAGAACGTCAGCCTTTTGACTGCTAACTCAGTGATGAAAACACTTGTGCCGCACTGGAGAGACCAGGGTTCAGTCTCCTCCTCCAAATTTACAGGAAGCAACCTGCAGATGGAAAACAGAAGAACATTTCCCTCTTTCTCTCTACCTTTTCCTGGCCATTAGATAACAAAATCCTAATCTTTTTTCTGAGCCAATAAATATCAGAATCCTCTCTGCGTGGGAGCCAAGTGCAACTGGTGGAATGATGGCAGGAAAGCTGGAGAATACAGCTTCTTCCCACCACAGCCACACCACATCACTAACAGAGGTCTTGGAAGAAAGAGATGAGTGAGCAAGTTTTGACTAGATTGGGCAGAGAAGGGAACTGAAACCAACCCCTCTTTTTTGCCATGGCTGTTTTAATAAAAAGCAAACGGGATAATAAAACTGTTTGCTTGCATATGGGATGATAGGAAGGTGTAAAATGTTTTCCAGTAACCATGCTCTAAAAGAAAATGATGAACCATTCTCAGTTCTTCAAGGAAATCACTTATTCTCGTAAGTGAGGCTCCTGGTAGTGAATCCAAGCTGACAGAGCCCTGCAAAATGACAAGCAAAACCACGGCTTAAGGTTTGCCCATGTATCCTATTTGCCTCAGACATCAGCTATAAAAATCTCTTTGCCTCAGAGGCAAGCTGGCTGTCACCTAGGGTAGTGGTATTTTGGATGGCATTCAGTCCTAACTTTTCTTGGGCATCAGATAAAGAGCCTAAATGTTTACTTTAGGACTGTGAGTTTCTCTGCAAAGGCAAGTACTTAAGGGTTTGATGTGCCGCCCAGGCTCTTAATTGAATCTGAGCCTGGAATTTGTTCCATAATGGGATGACCCAGCAGGATTATTTACAGCACAGCATGAAAGCAAATGCCAAAGAAGCAACAATGCAGCAGTACAAAGTTGTATTGATTATTATAAATTACCTCATTCAACACCCTTGGGCTGACCATGAATATTTCAGTGTTGTACGTCTCTTCATTTTCACAGCTAATGTGCTTCTTGAGTAAACAAGGGATGCTTGGGAAAGCCTTCCTCTCTTATAAACAAAATAAGTCATGGGTTCCCAAAGAAAGCTCAACAGTAATCAATCGGAGATTTTTAAATGAACCGAGTCATAAAACACATGTTCAAAATAATTCTGTAATAGCCTGATGGGTTTACTCAATTTAATTTAAAGATTTAAAGGAGGTAGTTTTTATTTTTCAAAATATAATGCCACTAATAAAAAAAAAAAAAAAGTTCCTGAAAGAAAATGAAGCTTCAAAACAGCAATGTTCAGACAGCACTGGGATTTTATTGTGCTACTGCCCAAACAACCAAGAACTTAACAACAAGCTCCAGAAAAGCTGTAGCAACGTGCTGCTGGATAGTCCAGCACGCTTCTCTATCGCTTTTAATTTTGAGTAATGGTGTCACTCACATAGTTTTGAGAGCCAAATACCAGCAAAACCCTTGTTTGCAGATTGAGACTGAGGATGAGACAGGCAGGTGTCCACCTTAACAGTGCACTGGAGGAACATGCCATCCATGTATATAACAGCCTTGAGAGTGTCTCTGCCTTCCAAACAGATACCATGGCTGCTAAAATGACTTTTTGAACCACAAGTTATTATTAACAACCTTCTCTGCAAAGGGAGACAAGAGGCTGTGCAGTCAGACACTACTATATCACGAGACCAAGTCCACACATGCTGGAGATAGCTATCTGTAATGGGAAGACAATTTTCCTTATAGACTTTCTGGCTAAGTTTTTTTCTGTTCTTGGTAAAAATGTTTAGATTACAGGCAGTTAGACCTCTCAGAACTTAAGCACAAGTATTTTCGTATTCAGATCAGCCTGGAGTATGCAACGTGCAAAACTGCTGAATAGCATGACCATAGACAAAGTGTCACCTCCAGAAAATCACCAGGAGTGGAACATTTTAAATTAACCTCTGTTTAAGGCTTGATTTATGAGAGACTTTGAGAGCCCAGATCATACACCCCAATATTCAGAAACCAGCTCTGGAAACGTTTAACTGAAAAATTTCTACCTACCTCTGTCCACAGAATGAGATTGGTAATACCTACAGAAAATCTTAAAAGTCTGGATCACAAGCATGCGATATAAATGCCAGCTATTACCATGAGCATGTTTGAAGCTGTCTTGACACCGCGTGAATAGCAGATTACACATTACCAAAAAAAAACCTTACAAAGGAAGCATTCTATGCTGTGGGGAAGAGAGACATGCTAGCTTCTTGCCACCTACAGGTGAAACACTAAAATCCTCATGCTCCAGGAGCTAACGACATCCAAGGGACTCGTGTTTGGGGAGCAATTGCCTCAGAACCAGAACTGACATTAAAACATGAATAAAATTGGGATTCCAAACTTTGTGCAACTTATGGAATCTTTTCCAATTTTATTTTAATGTTGAAGCTTTTTAAATTTTAAATGCTTCATTTTTTACAATCAGTCCACTTGACAAGGCTTAGTTTGGTTATTCTGGGGTTTTTTTAATGAAGAATAGCTGAAAGCTCTCTTTTTTCTTTTTTTTTTTTATTTTCCCCTAATCCCACACCATGCTTCTGCTAATTATCATTGATTAGAAAACAGCTTGCCAACTAACCCTGACAGCGTAATCATCTGTTTGATAGCATTGCCTGTCATCCAAAAGGAAGGGAGAAATGATTGTTACTTTCAGACAATTAGCAAGGGGCTGGCAGAGCTCACAATTGCCTAAAAGCTAAATGTGCCAGAACAGCTGAGATAAATTATTGAATCAATTAAAACACAAGAGGGGATGTTTGTAAGTATATTTAAAGCTAGCAAACAAGCATTGAGCTGTCATGGAATAGAACTGAAAACTAGTCAGAGGAGAAAGACTAGCAGAGTTTTGGGGGTTGTTTGGGTTTTTTTGAAGCTGTTGGAGTTTGTTCTGTTCTAGTCTGCCGTTACTATTAGTTAACTATAAGTAAAAGCTAGTATTGACTTCAAAGGAAAAGCATCTGATAAAGAGCAAGACCTAAAATGACTTTCCTTCCTCAGTGGTTAACTTTTCTGAAAGGCAAAGAAGTTATTGTTGCTAACGTTATAATTGCAATATTGACAATTGGTGGGCAGCAGCTTTTCTCATTTTTTACGTTCAGCTGTCCCTGTCATGTTGGGCAGAACCTTATCTACGGGCTAGCTTTCCTAGGAGTTCCTGCGCTGATCCTCCTGCTTGTTGGTTTTGCCCTGAATAACCAGACTTGGAGGCTGGTAACGGGCAAAAGATCTCCTTTTCAGAAAGAGACTACACCAAACCGGTTACTGCAATGCAAACTGATCTGCTTCGTCTTGTGCAGCATCACTGGGAGAGCCCTGGTTGCTCCAGTAACGTGGCTAGCAGTCACTCTGATAAACGGCTCCTATTATGTCTGTGCCATGAGTGAGTATGTCTCCGTGTATTATTATGGAGATAATCTTAATGTTACTGATAGCGAACGCAGAAGGATATTGGCTGAATTTCCCTGCAGTCAGTTAGTTCCTCCAGAGCTGACCCGGGCGAGAGATGAAGTGATTCTCCTACTCCGATACCAATCACAGGTGAGTAACTTATGTTGCTTCTGTTGCCTCCAGACCTAATGAGAAATAGTTAACTCGGCAGGTAAGGTGTTCAGATAAAACAGGATCAGTATCTTCTGCCTTGAGTGCCAAACCTCTGCGTGTTTTGAAGCCTTCTTTGGTCCTGTAAGTGGAACTGAACTTTAGGTATATAAATTACTATGTCTGGTTGTCCCATTTGTTACCTGTTAATGGAGGATATATTCTTCCTTGTGTAGTATCTTGAAAAACACTATCAAGTAAGACAAATGGAAGTTCGAGAGCCAGGGAGGGTGTGAAGTTTCTTTATTCAAGCACATGAAACATGTGACAAAGGGGCCCAGGCTGCGAGAGCTCCACGTGAACCAAATTAAAACCCTGGGTTTAGATCAGACTCAAATCTAAAAGCTTACATACTGGGTAAATAATAGGGGAAACCTTAAGTTGTCATTTCAAAGTAAATTGGTTTTAAACAGGCTACAAGCTAATGTAGGCTAGGAATTAGATGGCTTCTCTTCTCACAATAACAGCTGTGGAGGCAAAAACCTTGGCAAATATACAACACAACTTCCTTAAACTTGACAGAAAGAAGCAACTTTACTACATGGCTACCTCCAGTAGGCAGGGACTGGGTTTGATGGCAACAGCCCCTTACCAGGCTTATACCTTGTTACCCTTATTATTCAGGAAAAGCAAGTAAAGATATCTTACGGATCTGTCTGATTCTCAGAAGTTACCACTGTGAGTGTTTTCAGCTGTAACAAGGGGCTTTTTTCTTTTCTTTTTTTCTTGGTAAGGTGGCTGGCTGGCTTCTGATTGCTGTGGTAGTCATCACTGTCTTCTTGTCTTACTGCCTGGCAAGCTGCTTCTCCCCACTCAGCTTTCTACATTTTAGATACTGGAGCAGCTACGTCCATAATGAGCGGGAGCTTTTTGATGAAGCGACAGACCAGCACTCCAGGCTCTATGCCATGCAGCATGTAAGAAAATTCTTTGGCTTTGTCCCAGGGAGTGAAAATGTAAAGGAAATCCGTATCCCGTCTCTCAAGGAGTGGCAAGCCATTTCTGGACTGGCCTTTCTAAAACAAGTGGATGAGGAGCACTATGACTACAGCCTCCTCCATGACTGGGCCCTCAAGGAGACTGTAGATGGAAAATACCTGAAGACTGATGAAGACCCTGCGATCAGGGCACAGCTCTGAGGGTCCAGGCCCCTGCTGACACCTCGCAGAAAATCAGGAACATGCCTAGCTCCACATCAGGCCTGAGTAACTCTGGAACTTTCCAATGCCTTATTACACCGATAGATAAGGTGTGTGAGCAGGTACATCTTGTTACTGTAGCCCTTTAGCACATGCTTACAGGTGCCTTTCCTGATGGTGTCTGACTCCTGTGGGATGTGATGGTCTGTGTCTAGATTAGGGTTGGGCTGTTTCAAGCTGCAGCTCTCTGCTTTCTAACACTTGTGCTGAGAGGATGAGTACCTACTGGGAGGGAAAACTATTCCCAAATGCTTTTTCTTTCCTCCCATTAAAAAAATCTTTAAAAATTAATAGCTAGATTATGACTGGATCCTATGAGTGAGTCCATTCTGTACAGAGCAAAAGCAGCTATTCAGCTTTGTCTTAGTGAGCCCCAGCAGAAGTGCTTTATTTCTCCTCTTCCACATCTTTACTGTATTATATGAATAAAATATACTGAGCTAGCCACAAGCTAAGTCCGTGGCTACAGCAGCACAGAATAAACACATGGGGAAACTTCAGCACCAAAGGTTGACTCTAGATACAGTGATGAGGGAACTTTCGGTTCTGGTAAGGAGATAAATGTCTGCTGAGAGGCATAGGACAGAGGGGCACAACATATACCGGCTCTATGAACACTTTAGGTGGAAAAAATTTAGTTCAAATGTATTCTGGCTGAAAGCAATAGCAAGGTCGGTCTCCTATTCCTTTTAGATATACTTCAGAATCTCTCAGGTGCTTGTATGCTCGCCTGCTGTACAAAGAGCAAATCAGGATGGGAAACAAATCTCACTCTGTGCAGTAAGGTTTGCTTTGCCTGTGAAGCCATACTACTGAACCCATAAGTATTACTGTGATTAAAAACTACTGAATTTAGTGAAAGGCTTAATGATGTTTTCTATGTTAATTCAGTGTGATATGAGGTGATGTTACTGCATCTCATCTCTTTAACCCCTTGAGCAGACATTTCTAATTCTAAGGGGGAAAATGTGTACCATAGTTTCATCTAATGCTTCTTGTACTGTCTTGGCACGTACACATGTACATCTGTGTGCTATAAAGCCATATGCTATATTATACGATGCTATCTGCTGTTAATCAATGACCCTAGAGTGCTGAGGTTAAAAAAAAAAAAAAAAAAGTAATTAGTACTTTTTACTAGAAAATGCAGGATCCAGAAGCAAGTTAAATTGCAGATCTTGGTAAATGTGTTTGGTCTTAAAGATTTACACTTTAAACAAAAGCAAGCACTTTAGCAAATGCAAACAACGTATGTACTGAATAACTGGAGAATGATGCATATTTTATACAAGTAAATAAATTTTTACAAATTCCCACATATGTATTTCATGTGAATCCTAAACTTTCAGGTATGGGGGTGAGTTGACCCTGGCTGGATGCCAGGTGCCCACCAAAGCTGCTCTGTCACTCCCCTCCTCAGCTGGACATGGGAGAGAAAATATAAAGAAAGGCTCATGGGTCAAGATAAGGGCAGGGAGAGATCATTCCCCAATTACCATTACAGGCAAACCAGACTCAACTTGGGGAAATTAGTTTAATTTATTACCAAAGTAGGGTAAGGAGAAATAAAACTAAATCTTAAAACACCTTCCTCCCACCCCTTCCTTCTTCCCAGGCTCAACTTTACTCCTGATTTCTCTACCTCCTCCACGCAAGCAGCGCAAGAGGACAGGGACTGGGGGTTGTGGTCAGTTCATCAGACACTGTCTTTACCACTCCCTCCTCCCCATGGGGAGGACTCCACACATCCCGCCCCTGCTCCAGTGTGGGGTCCCTCCCACAGGAGACAGTTCTCCACGAACTTCTCCAACATGAATCCTTCCTCCAGGCTGCAGCTCTTCATGAACTGCTCCAGCGTGAGTCCCCCGCAGGGTCACAAGTCCTGCCAGCAAAATGACTCCAGTGGGAGCTCCTCTCTCCACGGGGCCACAGGTCCTGCTCCAGCGTGGGCTTCCCATGGGGTCACAGCCTCCTTCAGGCATATCGACCTGCTCTGGTATGGGGTCCACCCCCAGGCTGCAGATGGATCTCTGCTCCCCCGTGGATCCTCCCTGGGGCTGCAGATGGATCTCTGCTCCCCTGGGTACCTCCCTGGGGCTGCAGGTGGATCTCTGCTCCCCTGGGTACCCCCCCGGGGCTGCAGGTGATCTCTGCTTCCCCCGTGGAGCTCCCTGGGTACAGGGCACAGCCGGCCTCACCGGGGTCTTCACCACAGGCTGCAGGGGAATCTCTGCTTTGGCTCCTGGAGCATCTCCTCCTCCTTCACCAACCCTGGGGTCTGCAGAGCTGTTTCTCTCACATATTCTCGCTCCTCCCTCTGGCTGCAATTTCTCATGCCCAGGTTTTCTTTCCCCCCCCCTTCTTCAGTACGTTATCCCAGAGGTGCTGCCACTATTGCTGATGGGCTCGGCCTTGGCCAGCAGTGGGTCCCTCTTGGAGCCGGTGGCACTGGCTCTGTTGGACATAGAAGCTTCCCACAGAGGCCAGCCCTGTAGCCCACCCCCTGCTACCAAAACCTTGCTCATGCAATCCCACTGCAAGGTAATAGAACCGCACTGTTTATATGAACTCCTTAGGAAGCAAAGTACCTCTGTTAGTAAATACAACCTCTAATTTAACTTTAAAGATTTTTGGTTTTTAAGTAAAATGGAACAGCGTGTGTAATCTGGAATACATGGAACTGATTTGGGTATTTAAAGTTTTGGCAAAAAAAAACCCTATGTTGATGTTTGGATCAAACCAAAAAAAGCTAACTGCTACTTTTACTCTATGTGGGTTCTTTCCACGTCTTCCTTTGTTTTGCAGTACCACTATAAAATGATGCAATATTTGCAGCTAAGAGTGAGCTGTCAAATTCTTTTAACTTCTTGCTAAACTAACTTCTAAATTAAACTTCATGTTTTCTGATTTTGTTCCAATTACTATTTGCCCTGTACTTTTTTAATGCTTTATAATTTAAAACAATGGGTGGAAGTACTAGCTGTATCTGTCATTGTGAAGTCAGCCTGCCAATATATCAAGTATGACCCTGTTAGCACTTATTAATCCATGGTAGTAAATACAGCTGTAGTACTCTAGGTGATTTGGTGTATTTCCCTTTGGTCTCCTGCTCCCTCAAACACATCATGGATCAGTTGTGATGGCACAGCTTTCAAATGAATTAACAATTACAGCAAAGGCAACGAGTTGGTACTGAATAGTTTAACTGAGCCTGCTAAAACCCGAGTTATCTTACCCCAAATCAATTTAGAATTGCAGTTTGCTCACTTGAAGTGAAAATGATTCTGTGTCCATGGTAGAAGTTTTCTAGAAACTCCGGGCTTGTAAAATGCACCTGAGGGAAAAGTGCTGGCCATACCCCCTGGAAACCCATGGACTTTAAAAGTACTGCGTGTACCAAGTACCCACCAGGGTCTGCTGCTGTTTAACCCTCAATGGTCTTAAATTCATCTTTGCAGGTAAACCCCAAGCACGGGAGCTCCCGATATTGCTAGCCTTGACCATTCCTGTTCCGCACTTACATAATGCTGCTGCCTATGCTATGGGACTTCTGAAATCGCTGTGAAACGTTTCCTGGGAAGTTTGCAGCTGCTTTTTAACTCCAGGCTCTACCACCACCTGATTTTTCCAGCGGCTTCAACCGAACCTCCAGCTTCAGGCTGAAACGGCCCTCAGCTGACTTCGTGTCACCCTCAGGCTATTCCTGGAGCAGCAGTTTTGAATCCCCCCCTCGCCTTGCTGCTGCCCGTAAATTTTCAGTGAAGGAATGCCAAGTAGCGAATACCTGCCTAACGCCAGTGCGCTTTTTACCGTCACTCTGAAGCCTGCCTCTTTGGGCGGCAGCCCACGTCCCTCCAGAAGCGCGTGAGGCCCAGAGCCTGACTACCTCGCCTACCCGCACCCCTGCCGTCCCCGGGGCTGGGCGGCAGGATTTTTCCCAGCACTTCAAACACACCGAGCCCGTCCAGCCCGCAGAGCTGGGCACCAGAATGAGCCGACCAGAAGCCGCCGCGCCCGATCGTTCTTCGAGCAGGCAGCCGATCCACCACCGCCGCCCGCCCGCCCGCCATTCTCCTTCCCGCCTTCCTCCCCCTGCAGCCCAAAGCCATCCACCGCCGATCGCGGCGCCAGGCGTGCCTAGCCGATGCCGGAAGGGAGCACGCACGCACGCACGCGCGCGCGGCCGGCGGCGGCGGCGGGTCGCGTCGCGGTGCGGGCGGCCCATGGCCGGTGGCGGCGGCGGCGGCGGGCGACGATGACCGACTACAGCGAGGAGCAGCGCAACGAGCTGGAGGCCTTGGAGTCGATCTACCCGGACTCGTTCACGGGTGAGCCGCGGCGGGGCCCGCGCCGCTGGGAGGGAGGAGGGGGAGGCCCCGCCGCGCCTGCCCGGGCGTCCCCCCCCGCCGTTAGCTGCACGGGCTGGATATTTTTTCTGTGGTTTGTTTGGGGTTTTTTGTTTGTTTTTTTTTTGCTTTTAATTTTATTTTCCCTAGGCGGGAGAGCCACGGCGCTCGCTGGCGCCTCTCGCGGCGGGGGCGATGTCCCCCTCGGCGCTGCGTGGGGCCGCCGTGCAGCCCCGTCCCTGCGGCCGAGCCCGGGCTGTGGGGGCTGGAGGGACGCTCCTTGGGGAGACCCCTGAGGGGATGCGGCCCTGGGTGGAAGTTGGGGAACGGGCTTGCGTGTCGGCACTGGTTTTCCTTTCTGGGAACAGCTTCTCGCAGCCGTGAGGCGCGGGATGTTCTGGGGCACTTGAGGATGCCGTTTCCTCTGTACACGCATTGCCAGTGTCCTCTTTATTCCACTGCAGATCTGTGATGGAACAAAGACAAGCTTTAATACCCAGTTGCAGTGTGTTATATTGCTAAAACTTTCATATGATGGGTATGTTGGCTCGTTAGGTGTTCAGGATTTCTTAGTTACCATCAAACAATTAAGAGTTTCAACCGTGGTAGCTAATCTAACGTGATTTGTGGTGCTCAGTATCCAAAGGTTTTTAATGGTGAAAAAACCCTGCATTTTCTGTTTCCTCCCTGCACAGTATCTACTCTGCCTGAGGTCCCACAGTATCTTACTTGGCAGTAACTTTATCACACCGACATTTGCCAGTACATTGCTTTAATCAGAAAGTCTTTTAGGTTCTTCAGTTTTGCGTTAAAGGTATATGAATTAATCTCTGTTAGCTGAGGATGCAAATCACCGATATAGAAGTAATATACCTTCATATAGTCTCTACTTTGATGCTTACTCTTGAGTTATTTTTCATTCGTGTAATGCTCTTATGCCCAAAAGAAGAGGGAGAAGGAAAGATGGTGGTGGTAGTAGTAGTACATTAGCAATTCTACAAAATGCAATTAATGCTGTGAGAGCGTATATACTAGAGTGGGCATAGGTTGTAACAGTGATGCAGAGCAGCCCTTATTTGAGGATATGGTCTGCAACCCACAGTTGTGCAATGAGGTTTCTAGCCTGTGAAACTTTAGATCACAGGGGCTTGCAGTTTGTGTGTTTCTATGGAGCCACTTGTTGTCTGTCTTCTAGCTGCCTCATTTGTACAATTTCACTCTACTACGTTACTCGGGTGGTACATTCCTGAAGGAAGGCATCATGTAGTCCCTTTTTGTTTTAAGAAGCATTTGTTACATTCACTTGTCCTAAATACAGAAATAGGTGCAGACATACTGTAAAAATAGCCCAGTGTCAAGAGTGCACTGGATGCTCATCACACTTATCTAGCACAATAAGACAAATCAACTTTGGGAGCTTTCTGCGCACATTCAGTGCGCTAACATGAGTCATTCGATGGCAGGTAGATTTGTACTTTTTCAAAAAGAGGGACTTCCAAAAACCAAACTTTCTGGTACTGCTGATGTTGTTGAGTGCTCTCAAAGAGCACTCCAAACTTCACGTTACATGGAAAAGGGCTGTTAATTGAAAAGTATTTATTAATAGGATGGAAAGGCCCGTAGTGCTGTATCAAGAGCCTCCTTGCTTCATTAGTCTTTGAGAAGTTTAGTTTTAATGATGTGAAGACGTAGTTGTCTGATTTAAGGAATCTCTGTCTGACCCTTTTTTTTTTTTTTTCCCTTTGAACAGTGTTGTCAGAAAAGCCAACAACTTTCACAATCACTGTGACATCTGAAGCGGGAGAAAATGATGAAAGTAAGTTGATCATGTCTTATACATAGGTGGACTTTCTGTATAAGCCTAATTCTATTGCTAAAAACTAGGTATACCTCTACTTAAGACCTATTTGAGGCCTGATCCAGCAGACCTTCCTCAGAAAATGTAGTACAAGGGTTCTGGTGATCTCTGTTTACTTTACAGAAATGTGCTTTCTCGCTGGGACTACTTGCTGACATGCTGAATCTCAAATGCTTTGTAGCTTAGCTTCAAAAAGTATGGGTTGTCATCATTCCCGTAGGAGCTTACAGCCATGTTGTGAGGTGATATTTTTTTTTTTTTTTTCTTTCTAGCAACTGTATGTATACCAGCCACATGGCAGAGGTAAGTCTGTGAGCATGCAGCCCTTAAGGAGCAGTTCCAGAGCACCAGGCTGTGGGTCCCGAGTCCCCGTGTATTATTGGGTATCAGTGGTTGCATGGGCTTGTTGTAGGCAAGCCTTGCTCCCAGTAAGTTTGAGAGCTGCTGTTCTGGGTTATTGTATCAAAAAGGAAGAAACTGGTGCTGTCTCCTTCAGCTTTAAAGGAGCAAATCCTCCTCGGAGCACGTGTCTGTGTTGAAGAGACTGCTAGGCTGCCAGGTCTGAGTCTGGAACTGAAGGAAGTCTTCTCCTTGGTATTTTGGCAGGAGGCATGGAAGGAACTGGATGCTCTTTTGCCTTGTTTCCATGTTATCCTAGCTCTGGGTGGCTTCCGATTGAATGCGTTCTCCTTAGGCAGTTCTCTGCTTAAGAGCTTCTACTGGACATGGCGTCCTTGTCATACAATTTATGTGAAGCCCTGGTACCCAACACAGGTCGATGCTCCAGCCCCACACACAGAATTTAAAACATTAAGGTGCTGAGGTTCTGTCTAGATCTGTTGTTAGGAGCCTTCCTCATTTTCTCCAGCTTTAAGTGGAATATGAGGGGGGAAAAAAGATTACTGCTCTGGTACCCACCGTGCCACAGAAGGTTTTCCAGTCTTTGTAAAGACCTTTCAGACATTAGTAGCACATAATAGTTTACATAAAGGTAAACTTTGTCTTAATTTCTAATACCTCTTGCATTTAAATCTGTTCGTATCGTTTTAACATCTGTGTAAGATAACTATTCCTTTAAAACAAGAATATTCCACATTTTAAAATCTTCAGGCTGCTAATGCAACAGAAAAATACACAATTGAAGTTATCTAGAGTTATCACCATAAGAATATGTGTTTTTTATCTTGCAGCTGTCCAAACCACCCTTAAATTTACCTATAGAGAAAAATATCCTGATGAAACTCCACATTATGAAATTGTCTCACAGGAGAATCTTGACGATAATGATGTCACAGACATAATCAAACTACTAGAACAACAGGTAAGGAAAGCGAAATATCTCCTTTCAGCTTGATATCACTTCACACTTTAGCCAGAATTTCTCTCCCAATTCAGTTGTTTTCTGGGGTACGTGCTACTGATTTGAAACGTATTCCATACTGTAGGGACTGGCCTTGAGGTTTGAGTTTGGTAAATGACGTTATTGAGGTAGATTATGTTAATGAGGTAAAATACAAGGCTAATTCAGTGTGCACAGGTACGATAATGAAATGGAAGTGCTCTAGGGCTTTCCCCTCTTTTGCAGTTCTAGCTTACGGTGAATTTGTTTGGCCGTATATATAGAGTACATGTGGAAACAAGCCACTTTGATTTTACTTAGATTAAAAATTGCTACACTGAATCGATTCTTTTTAATAACTATTGCGGGGTGGGGCGGATCTCTTCAACTTTTGGGATCAGTAAGAGTGCATTGTGAAAGAATGAGAAGAAAACACCTTTTTGGTTTCAGGAATTCTTTACAAGACCTCTCTGCCTTAAAATTGCCATAATATGTTCAGTAGGTATTCTTTCTTTTCAGTTTACTTCCCATAACCTTCCTTCTATCAACTAATGTTTTTTACTTTTCCTGGGAAACTGTCCCACTTCAGAGGGGCAGGTAATGGGATTAAGGAAAAAGTCATTCCAGGAGAGGAGAGGTTCTGAGTGACTGTTGTCTCTTACAACTTACGATATTCAAATCTTGGGGTTGTATTCCTCCTATAGGTTTTGTTTTATTAATGAAAAAGCCTTTCAGCTGTCTAGAATGTGTTGATGGCCTGAACGCAGGTGTTCATCATTGGTGTTTTGCTGTGCACAGACTTTGGGGGGTAGTTTAACTGGATTAACTGGTCAACTGACTTGAATTTTACAGCGAGCTTTTGAGACTGGTGCAGAGCATGTTATCTGCATTTGCACAGCATGCTGCTTTCTAAACATACTTGTGCATTCAGCTGCTGAAGGTTTGAGATTCTCCTGTTTGAAGTCGCCTTCTTTGTGTTATAGGCAGAAGAAAATTTAGGAATGGTAATGATCTTCACTCTAGTCTCAGCAGTACAGGAGAAATTAAATGAAATAGTGGATCAAATAAAAACACGAAGAGAAGAGGAAAAGAAACAGAAAGAGAGAGAAGCAGAAGAAGAAGAGAAAGTACGTAAAATATTTTCAACTAAATTTCCTGCTTTTTTTTTAAATGTGTGTGTTTGCAGGAGCAATTCTCAGTTGCAGTAGGAAAGGAACATCTATCCCAAAGTTGATATAATTAAAATTTAAGGACTAGGAGATTCTTTAGTGCACTTAAGTGATTTTTTTTTTTTTCTTTTTTTTTTCTTTCCCCCATTTTATAAACCAGTGTTTTCAGAAATGTGTTGCGTGTTCACAGTCCTTTCTAGCATTACTTCCTAAGGCAGTGTTAGGGATTTTTCCCAAATTAAATTAAAGTTGCTGTAGCCAGTTTTTTGCTTAAAGAGACAGGAGGAGACGAGGGAACAAAAAACCTAGCATATGGCACACTGCACACAGGCTGCATGTTCTGAGAAGTTGCTCTTCCTTGGTAGACCAAGTGGGTAGGGTTGAAGCAGTAAGACCAGTCTTCAAGACTGGTTTGTCCTCCCTGCACTTGTCCTTTCTACCAGATGCTATGGAATGTTTCCATTCATGGAATGTCCTGTGGTAAGTCCAACTTCTGAGTCTTCACTTTCTTCGTCAGAAATAGCTAGAGGGTGATGGGACTTGGGAGGTTCAGTATTTCTGAAAGCGGCAGAAAAATAAGTGGAAGAAAAGAATGCTTTTTTCTGTCACAACAAGATAGGAGGGTTAATGTATTTTAATGGAAAATATTTCAGTGTAGATTGTATTTGAGTTGATAAGAAGTGCTACCTACTTATGAATAACCTGTATTAGTAGTGTGTTGCTAACTGTTGCATTGTAGGTCCAAAAGTAGTACGTGGGGTTTTTCCGTAAGAGTTTCCACTTCAGTACATCTCTCTGAAGGGAGAGTCCCATGACAGAAAGCATCAAGAACGTGTTCTTTTTGTATTCTTAGAGTTAAGATTAATTTCTCAGAATACTTCACAGCAAGCAGCACTTCTGGAATGTTATAATTTAAATAACTAAGAGAACACTCATCTTCACGTTGTTAGCTTTGCAAGTTGTGTTTGCAGCCGTGTTTTCTGTTCTTTCAGCAACGTTTTCATGGCACGCCTGTTACCATTGAGAATTTCTTAAATTGGAAAGCAAGGTTTGATGCAGAACTCCTAGAAATAAAAAGGAAAAAGATGAAAGAAGAAGAACAAGCAGGCAAAAATAAATTAAGCGGTATGATCTAAAACATCCTGAAGTTTTTGCAATGTTCCCAGACTGTGACAACATGTCCAAAAGTAATTTTTACACTGAAAGGTGATGGTAGTAAATAAACTCTGAATGCAGTGTTTGATTATTGTCGTCCATGTCACATGAAGTCTTTGAGTGCTGATTTTGGTCTAGATACAAGGCTAATAGGTTCAGGATTTCTGTTGAAGTCGTTAAGTGTTGTTCTGGCACAAAATAGGTGGGGTTTGTTAAGCAACAGAAAGAATCTACATTGGACAGTTTATTGATTTGGCTTTTATTGCACTGGATCGTACAGTGCCTTCAGATTGTTCAAGCTCACGTAGAAGTTTGAGATGTTGTTGCTGGACTGAAGCAACACAGGCTGGCTGCTGCACATGACAAGCTTACAGTTACTAGCAAGAATGGCTCTGATGTTTTGGGGAAGAGCTTGTCATAGCAGTTGTTTTGGACTGTCTGTTTTGCAGATCAGTTTGTCCAGCAGAAAGCAAACTCTGTATCCAGTGGGCAAAAGGTGGAGGAAATTACTTTTCTTACAAGAACCTGTAGGAAAGAATTAAAACTTGGGCATCCTCGTCCACACTCTCCACGGCTTAGCTTTGTACTGTTTCTCCTGGGATGCTGGATCTACTTTTTAACCTGATTACCTGAGAAAACATGACCGATGTGATTGTGCTGTATCACTGTTATCTTTTCTCCTCCCTTCTGAAGGCTTTTGAAACTTTTGGCTAGTTTTGATGAAATTTGAGAGAGATGGAAATTTTAATGGTAGTAAGTTTCTTGAAAAGCTGTACAGGGCAGGGTACACACTTGATTCCCCTCTGGAGGGAATGCATTTGGGAATCTGCAAAGATGAGATAGGAGAAATCAAGCTGCTTCTAGTTTTCCTCTTAAAATTACTGTTAGCATGCTGTGTCTATCTTTCTCTATAACAAGTCTAGCTCATAAAAGTTCCCCTTTACAAAACTAAAAACAGGATTATTCTCAGATGTCATGAGTGTAACCCCAGTAGAAGTAAAAGGTACCTTAAGTGTTTTACTATGAACACCAGCCAGTCTTGTCAGCAAAAGCTTGCATAAGCCATGCAAATATAGATGGAAGATGGGCAGTTTATGTGGAAAGAGCCCTGAGCTTTTCTCCTCCTACCTCCCAATTAGAAAGGCTTCACTTTGCCTTGGGTGATGTTTCCTTCACAGATCTGTGTGTGTGTAGGAGCTGGTGATTTGTGTGTTGATCCAAGCTGCTTTTTGAATGGGGAGGATATATGGAAAAATACGGAGGAGCCAACTGATTTTCTTTCCAGTTCCCACAGAGGATTTCTTGTGGAATGCAAGGTGGGGACTAAAGCAACAAGGACTGAGCAAAGCCTGTGAGGCAGTATGGTGTAAATTTTCCCACTCTGCATCGTTGAAGTCTTAGTAACATTAAAGTGACTATAAGAAACAGTGACCCATTTCACATATAAGAGGAGGAAGCTTGTTGGTGTGGAAGAATCCTGGATCAATAGTCTAAAAATCAGAATGGAGAATTTACAGAAATGAGCAGCTTAAAAAAAAAAAAAAAAACCAACACCAAAACCCTCCTGCTCAAACAGGTTAATTTGAAAAGCCTAAAATATATGTGCTAACTGTTGTTACCTTAGGTTGATAGTTATTTCAGAAATCTACTTGCTTATGTGTTATTTCTAAATTTATTTCCAGGTAAACAGCTGTTTGAAATGGATCACAACCTTGACACCTCTGACATCCAGTTCTTGGAGGAAGGTAAATTTCTTTTTGTTTCTGCAACTGGGAGTGGCTTAAAATAGGTCAGAATTCCTAAGCAAAATCATTATTCTGTTTCTGACTTAACATCTTACCTCAGCATCACTTCTACATCAGACCTTTTGAAGAATTACTGTTTTGCAGATTGAACCGAAGTGATTTTATCATCTTTCAAAAACAGACAAAGCGTTTTTTAAGGATGCTAGAGTGTATTTATTTTCAGTTTTAAGCTTGAGTTGATCTTACTCCTGTTGCTTCTGTTCAAGTGTTTGGACTGCAAGCAAAACCAAAACCAAAGCAAAACAAAAATTCCACAACCAAACCCTGCTTTTTCTTTTTTTCTAATAGCCAGCCTTCTTACCCCTGATCTCAGACACAGATATTGAAGTTCTGTCTCTTTCTCTCTGAACCTCAATACCAATAGCAAACATTTTGCAGGTCAAATTAAATGCTGTTTCCCTCTGTGCAACCCAGTTCTTCGTGGTTTTGCTCAGGTTTGTCTGCTATTATCTTTCTGAAAATATTTGACCTGATGCCAGCTGTGCCAAAAGATGTTAAACTTGGAAAGTCCGTTGAAGAGAAATCAAATAAATCTAATCAGTCACATATCTATCTCATTTTCTGTGCTGCCTTTCAGTATCCTAGTTTAAAAGACTGATTTTTTTGTTGTTTTTGTTGTTGTTTAGCCAATTCTTTAATGTAGCTGCATTATCTACTGGTATTGCAAAACACACATGCAGGAGAGTCAAGAATTTTCTCTGCAAGTAACAATTAAAAAAACTGTTGTTTATGAACGTCAGTGAGTATAAAATTGGAATGGCAGTAATGGAGGAGTTGAGTTTCTTTTCGTTAGGGGGCATAATTTAACCTTGTCTTCCTTGAAAATGCCTGAAGTGAAGATGGGTTGTTGACGGAACATTTGGCTGCCTCGAGGGAGGAACAGACCTCTGTATTGGCTCAGTGCCCAAATGATTTGGGATTAATGTATTAACTTTTCATCCCGTTGTTACTGGTGATTTAAAACCTCCTGTTCTTATTGCTGTTTGCATTCTATCATAAACGCAACAGGTTGCTAACTGTAATTGAATTTTACAATAGCGTGTAGTAAGTAATAATAATTTTCACAGCTTAAGCAAGATAATGGCATTATCTTTTAGATGGGAGCAGTTATAAAGGCTCTTTCAAAATGCAGAGAAAGAACAAAACCTTCTTCAGTGCCGGGAGATGTCGCTGTTGATACACACAAACAAAACAGCAGTAGCCCTCAAGTTTTCTCCTTAGATCAGCAGCATCTCTTTCAAAAGAAAATGTGAAAGCATGCAAAGCTTCATCTCGCTTTTAAAATTTCAAACTGAAAGCAAATGTGTGTATCTAGGCATGTAAGTGGTGTGTAAGGGCCTTTTTATAAACGCTGTGTTTCCATGTCTGTGATAGTTGTAACTATTCCAGCTGTGAGGTCCTGAGCTCCTACTTTGACACCTGGGAGAAAGGATCTCTGCTTCTGGGAACTATAAATGTTAATTTAATTCTCCCAGTGGATTCTGAGGTCCTGCGTGACATTTCTCTTGAATGCGTTTTGATTTGAGTAAAAAAAGCTTCACTTCAGCTGTAAAAAGATAAAAATATGGCCTTTCATTTTCCATATGTATTTGATATGTAAAAAGCCAAGTAAGTTCACAGCTAACTACATTGAAGAACGAATATCAAAGTGTTGTGTATTTTGTCGTTCAGGTACTGGCTTTCTACTTGCATGAAAATAAATTCTTTTTCTGTCCTTTGCAGCTGGAAACAGCGTGGAGGTTGATGAATCTTTATTCCAAGAAATGGATGATTTAGAGTTGGAGGATGAAGAGGATGACCCTGACTACAACCCTGTTAATTTAGATAGTGATTAGACTTTTTTTGGACTGGCTCTGTCATCAGTATGGACATATGTAAGGAGAGAGGGGCAGGCAGGGAAGCCACAGCATCTGTGGTTTTAGTAATGTGTATTTTTTCTTTTTTTCCAAAGAAAAAAAAATATTTTAAATCCAGGAGAATGGTCTTCTGATGACTACCTTCACAAATAAATTTACTTTAATATTTCAAATTAAAAATTTGAGGAATATTGATCTGTCTGAAAATGCTACTTTATTTTCTCTTATTTTTTCCTTCCCACTTCTGTACTTATCCTTTGAAGAGATGTGACAACAAACAAGGTGGAAGGATATTACAGCAAGTGCTAAACACCCCTGCATCTGAAGGCTGAGCAGCTCTTCTGCTGTTTTCCACCTGGGACATACAGGGGCCGCTTTGGTGAATAAAAGGGATCACATACTATGCAGGGTTGTTTTTTTTTTCTTCTTTGTTTATTCTTCTGTGGAGTTCTATAACACTTCAGGTCAGTTCTGGTGCCCCAACCTATCAGCTGTAGATAGGCAGCAGTTGTCACCTTTTAATAAGGCATAGCCTTGTTAAAGTTTAATGGAAACTATTTCAGTACTACTAGAGTAAAATCTTTTGCTGCAGTGGAGGATAATAGTTTCAGAATGACTAGTTGAAGTCCATAGGAAAAAAAAATCAAAAGGAGCTGAAGTCCTCTTAAAAAGTTTGGTTGATTTGTTCAGAGAGGGTTGTGTGGTTGCTTTTTTTGGTTTTGTTTTTGTTTTTTTGAACTTGTGCATCAATGAACTTCCATTAAAAAAAGACAAAACAAACAAATAAACAACACTCTAGGAAAATTATTTTGCTTTTGGCAACAGACTATGTCAAAACACTATCAATGGAGTGCATATTACAGTACCAAGATTTATAGAGTGCTTATAGATTTGAATGTAATGGGTGTTTTAGGAGTACCTTGTGGCACCCTAGAAAGGCTAGCACGACGTACCGTAAAGCTACTCATCAACTTGAGGGTGTTAACCATCCCCTCCCACCTCCAAAAATACCCAAAACGCTGCGAGAACTGTAGTGTTTAAACGTGCTGTGTTTGAGGCTGCTTCAGCTAGCGGGATGACGGTATGGGTGAAGGCTTCAAAAGAACCAACAGGCACCTCAGTGGTTAAACACTGTGCTGAATTTTAAAATACTGGTGGTAGACTGCCTTGACTGTGGCAGCTTCAGCCTTTGAAGAGGGTTGCACTGAAGTATCACAATGCTTAGAGGAATAATGAATTTATGAATTTTAATATTTGGAAGTTCTGTATTCAAAATGAGAAATATAATTCTGGAAATAATTTGATGGTATCTAAGATTCTCTGCTCGTATCACTCAGGAACATCTGTCTAGGATGATCTCCTTTAATGTGCTTCAGTAGTCTTTCCGTATTCAAAATGAATGAGTTTCTAGTGGATAGAAGTAAATGTTCAAGTACCCTGTAAATATTTTTATAAATTAACCACGTGCCTCTGTTCCAACTGTCCTCTATTTGATCTTTTTAATTTTGGCTACTGAGAACTCTAGACAAGCACCTAGGTTTCAATGGTCATTGATGTTTCCAAGCAATAAGCAGGATCTGTGTTCCAGCAGAGTTACCAAATACATTAATTAGCTCACAGTTTTTCAGTATGATAGCAAATCTGACTTTTCCAAAGAATACGGTTGGATTGAAAGCTTCGTCGTGACTACATTCAGCTTCCTCTGTAATTGCTAGGATGCTTGAATTTCCTCTTCAGCCCTGAACTTAATTGGTTTCTAGTTTGTCTCAATTCAGCTGCAGAAAAAACATTTAACTCGTAAAGCTGCTTTCCATTTTCGGCTATGTACGTTTAAAACTGGCATTTTTTCCTAAAAGGAGTGAGTGAGTTCTCTTCAAACCTGGACTGAATCCAAGAATGCTGTGCAAAATGTGGTAATCTGAGAAAATTTTCCAAGTGGGTCACTAACAAGAATCATTGATGTATGAAAAAATGTTTCTCGTTAATGGTATTTCTAGAGGAATGAGATTTTTCTAGTCTATTTTCACACCAATATATTTATTGGTTTTCATGCAGAGGATGTGTAGCTTAAAAATGTTAAAACAATGTCAAACAAGTTAAAATATGAAAATGTGTTTTCACTGTTACATCTTCTATTTCAAAGCAGAGGAAATAATGAGGGTTGAAGTGACAAAAAGTTGCATGAATTCTGTTCCTCCAAGTCTTTGGAACAAGTTTTAGTGATTCAATCGGAACTTCAGGTTTGTTTAGCTTTGTTAGCAATTAACATCTGTGAAATAAAAGGGAATTTGACTGAGAGTAAGTTTGGCTACGTTTGCGTGTTTTAGTTTGCTGAGGTAAGGCTTTTTTTGTTGGAAGGAGTTTAGGTATTTAAAGTTTACTCACGCACTTTGGATGAGATTGAAGTCTAATTCATATTAATCTAATGAAAGTCCATTGACAAACTTTGATGGAATTTTCGTAATTCAAAATCATGGTGCTGACAACCTTGCTTGTATCTTGCTTTTAACTCCCAAAGTCCGAAGCGTACACTGATGCATGCAGGGAGATTATTATCCGCTGCAAACTGTGGTATGGGGACAGGCAATTCAGTTTTGATCATGCTGAGCTTCTTGAATAGTTGATGCCTGACCTCTGATTTTAATGAATGCAGAGGATGGTGCCCACCACATCAGGATGCTGCAGGAGTGCAATCTCAGGCACGCTGCAAAGCCTAGGGGCTTCACATCCAGGTTTTGATTGCGTTACGATGTGCGTTAAAGCAAACAAAGCATAAGGGTCGTATATACGTGTTTTGGTTTGGGCTTTTTGCCTGCCTTATTTTGGCCAAAACTGGGAAGCTTGAAATACATTTGCTGCGGGGAGAATCGACTTCGGTCTTTCTCCTAGGAGACTGACAACCAGCAGGCTACCTGCAGTTTTGAAACTGGTTGCTGAAGTAAATTCAAATCTTGTTGGACCAGAGAGTAAACTGTGCCTGGATCCAAGATGCTGATCCCCTGGATCCTGAGAGGAGGAGCTGTCAAGTGAGCGCTCGCTCTCCCTCATGTGGCAGAATCTGACAGGGCCTGAAATACTACATTTCAGGTTCTATTTTGGTTTTTTTTTTTTTTTTTTTTAATTAGGCCTTCGGCGACTTGCAACTTGGCTTGGAGTAGGAGGTAGAGGGAGGAGGCTTTTCGGGTTCAATTCTTCGACACAATTGCTTTTATTGCCGTGAACTCACTTTTACCTTTTGCACTGGCACGTTCCTGCAATCTGCAGTGACAGAGTGAGCCGATCCCGTGGGGCCGTGGCTTACAGCGGAGCGTCAGGTGTACGTGGCTTTCGTTCCTGACTGCCTGTTGCTGGAAAAAAAGAGTGAAGGTCAAGGTCCTACCTGTGGTCAGGAGTTCTGCTTGGACTTAGGGCAAACTCAGCAAGAGGCCTGCGTTAGGCTTCTGACTTTGAACTAGTTTTACCTTTTCTGTGGCCAGGGTAAATATGTACAGGTGGAAAAGGTCAGTGGTCCCCTTGTTCAACGTCAGGGGATGCAGTGGTTACGTAAGTCACGTAAGGGTAGTTTTGGGGTTTTTTTTATTTTTTTTTTTTTTGTAACTTCTTTTTGTTGTATTGGGGACGCAAAGTTCCAGAACGAAAGATGACCTGGCTGTACAGTTGAAGGACGTGGATACGTTCTTCTTGTAGGCTCATTATATGAGGTCACCTTTGGCTAATGGAAGCAGCTACACAGTGCCTGAAGGAATTCTGCAGAGAAAAAAAAAGCAGGAGATGTGTCAGAAGGCTAAAATAGATGGACTGAAAATTAAAAGAAAGAGCTGGTCCCTTGGGACCGGTGAAAGAAGGAAACCAACAAAAAAAAAAAAAAAAAAGAGCAATTATGTGAACTGGAAGAATATTTTACATTTTAGAAGGGATTTATGGGAAATCCAAGGTAAGATGCTCTGTGTCTAATCACAATGATTATTTTGAATGTTTTTTTTAAATTAGAAGTTGTACCCTGCTGTGGCTGGTTGCTAGGGCGTTGGTTCAATAGCAACCAAAATCTGTCACCATCGTTGGATGATGATTACCTCGTACCAGGAGGCAGGGACGAGGGTCCAAAACTCGCCTTCCCCACCAGGGAAGTGCAGTTGGTACCTGAAAAAAAAAGTTGGAACAAAAGGTTTCCTCCTCAGATCACATCCTTTCCCTCTGCCCTCCTGACTGAGGCTGTGCTGAAAGGGACGGAAGATTATTGGAGGGGGAAAAAAAAATGCTAGAGATCTACCAGAGACTGAACAGTGCGTGCATGAGGAGCTGTCTTGGTTTGGGCCTGGTTGGCAGCCAACCACCATGCAGCGACTTTCTCTCCCTTCTCTTCTGGCAATGAGAAGGGACAGAGAGCCAGGCTTGGGGTTCGAGATAGGACTGGGATGGGGGAAAATCCCCCTTTATGGTCATGAGCAAAAGGCAGACTCGTTAGGGGAAGGAAAAAAGAACATACATTTATTACAGACACTAACAACACATAACAGAGTAGGTCAGTGAGAAGCATTGCCACATCTTGAGAACACCTTCCCCCATCCCTCCCTTCTTCCCGGGCTCAGCTCTGCTCCCGATATCTCTACCTCCTCCCCCAGGGGCGCAGGGGCAGGGAATGGGGGGTGCAGGCAGTGCTGCCACTCCCTTCATGTTCGGTGAGGGGAGTGTCCAAAACTTGTTCCCCCCTGCTCCATCGTGGTCCCCCTCTCACAGGAGACAGTCCTCCACAAACTTTCTCTGACATGAGTCCCTCCCACAGGCCGCAGCGTTCCCCACACTGCTCCGTCATGGGTCACTAACTCCCTCCGACTGGATTCCCTCCCACGGCTGCAGCCCTTCCCGAGCTGCTCCGGCGTGGGACTCCCCCGCATGCTGCAATCCTCCCAGCACTGAATTACAGCAGCGGGGCTGCTGCTTCCCATGAGACCCCGGCCTTCTTCGGGCACAGCACCTTGATCAACCAGGTGAAAAACCACAGGTCATAAATCAATGTCTGCTCCACCGTAGATCTCCATGGGTGGCGGGGGGGGGCTGCCCTGCCGTCTCCCCACAGGATACAGGGGGGTCTCTGCTCCGGCACACCTCCCCCCTCCTTTCTTCCTCCATTCCCCCACTGACCTTGGTGTTCACTCAGCTGCCTCAACTCCTCACCAGTCCCCCTGCCCGTCACCACGTTCCTTCTTAAATACGTTATTGCAGCGGCGCAGCTGATGGGCTCAGTTTTGGTGCAGAAGTGGAGCTGGGGGAGCTTCGAGAAGCTTCTCCCAGGGGGCTGCCCCGATAGCCCCCTCCCCTGCTACCAAAAAACCCCACCACTCACTCACCCCAGGACAGGAGGAAAGGAACTACAGCGCTAGTTTGTGAATAATTTCAATGAATAGAGTTGAGAAATGTGCAAGAGTTGGGCCTCCCTTTGTAAGCAGCATAAAAGGCGTTAACATCCACAAAGGCAAATCTGTCGTAGACCAGATGCATGCCGCGTTGTTGAACTTGCAAATATTTTTTGAGTTGTTGATAGACAAAAATCTCGAGATACGTGTCTCTACTTACCTTCTCGGGGGAAGCCTAGGGGCAAGCCGCTGCATGGGGTTGAATCATGGGCGGGTTCATCATGACATTGTCAATGAATATATGAGGAATGACATAATCATAGATAGCTGGTAGGATTTAGCATCTGGCAAGTGTGGTAGAGTGGATGTTCACTTAAAAACTTCTGTGACTGTGGCTTGTGTTTTTTCTCAATATTTCAAGCAGCAAATTGGCAGACGTGACCTCGACAACCCGAACAGACAGTGCAATGAAGTGTTCCAGTCAATAAACAACACCAGATTATGCAACATAAAGGTCACTTTAATAGCAAATGGTCGAGTACTGGTGTTTAACAAGGAAATGGGAATTCAAACATATCAAAGCGTAATCTTACCTAGGAAGGTCAGTCTTACTTCTGGTCTGGACATTGAAGGTTCTATCAAAAGAAGCCTCACAAAATGCACAAATGGAACGTTTTCCAGAAAGATTTTAGCAACACCAATCTATCCTCACTTGGTTGTCTACAATTAAAGCCACTAATAATAATAATAAAAAATAAAAGCACATATGAAGAAAGGAAGTCAGATTACTAAGTTAGTTAATTAATAGACCTGGCATATTTACAAACAGGAAGGTGTTGTAATTGAATAACTTTGTCAGACAATTCACATTCTGTGACTGAGTTGTCATCATTATTATTTCTAGAACATAGCTGAAAACAGAGGTATTTTCTTCTTCCAGAACTCCACGTGTGTCCATCCAGTATAAACACCAAAGGATGATGAACCTCGAAACCAGCCTACATTTCATCGTTAATATCCCAGATGAATTTGATGGGCAGGGTCTTGATTTTCTCTCCAAGAACATTGTCAAACCTTTCATTCTGTGCCACTGTCATGAGGTTTTTCCAGTCTCCAACGGTGCCTGAGGAAAGAGGCAGCAAAAGGAGCTGAGAAGCAGAACGTGCACCTCGGTGAAGCCCACTGCAGACGGTGAGTGCTAGACCTGGGAAGCAATTCCTGGCTCCCTCGGCACCTCCCCGTTGCTGGCCTGCCGAGTGAGGCTCTGGGTGCTCTTTTGGGAGCACGGATCCAAATCTAGGTGCTGTGAATAAAACACAGCGTAGACCTGTAATCCTGACTCCTCGTGAAGTTACTAAAGGCATTTGTTCTGGTTTTTTACTGGTTCCTCTGGGATCAAAGAGGAAATTATGAAAAGCAACACCGGTTGTTTTTCTCTCAGGGCACCACTCTCTTTAATCTTTTGAGGTCTCCTCCTACACTGAACGTTAGGACATCATAGCAATGCCCAGGAGCCCAGGGATGTCAGGTATGGGCTCAGAGGGTAGGTGGTCAAGAAGGTCTATGCTCACAGAATTAAGGTGACTCTTGCCGTGAAAAGAAACAGTTAAAAAAAAAAACCAAACCAAACCAAACCAAACCAACACTATTTATCCCTGCCTCTGTACAACCTTTAAATCCTTTCCTGTATCTGACAGGGCTGTTACAAGCACATTACAATGAGTAAGTCATTACCTTTTTATCATCCATAGGAAAATACGGTGGAATCACCCGTGCCACAGCAATAAAACTGCTCTTACAGATTTAATTTGCCCCTAACCTGAAGTCTTCCTCTGAAAATGGGCCGTTCCAGCTGCGACTAAAAACCCTCGGTTCATATCACACCAAGAAATGTGGGGTTAGAGAGCTGCATTGGACTGCTTGCACTTTACCTTTCCGTAGAAAACTACCCTTGTCTTTGTCTATGATGTCATCTGGAAGGTTCTCATAGTTTGCCCTGGGATCTTTCCTCATGTTCTCAAATGTAGCTTGTCTCACAACACTGTCCACTTCTTCTTCGCTCAGCTTCCTGTCCAGGAAGTCGCAGATCTTTAGCACAGCGCTTCTGAGGTCCTGCAATAACATCACTTTTTGAAGAGCCCTGATGATCCAAAGAGCCAAATGCACGCAGCAGTGGAATACGGGACAATAAAGGACGTGCATTTGGGTGCAGAACGGACCATCGTTTTTATGTGAGCATAGTCTTTCTTGCTCGCATCAGTTGAATACAGGGAAGCAGTGATGCTGTAGCTCACTGCCACAGCGTGCACTTGGCGATGGGGAATTCTCTGTTCTGCTCCCCGTGTTGCAAACCCAGACCGGAGCTGGCGTTAGAGCCCTGGCAGCGTCACCCCCGGGATGGTGCCTGTCGCCGTGAAGGCACTCAGCCCGTGGGGGCTTTGTCAGTCTTGTTGTCCTAGCAAGGGGCTCGACCTGAGCAACCCCAGGCTCCAAAATCTGAGGGACCAGTGCGGTGGCATGTGACGCGGGCTGTGCTGCCGTGGCCAGGGCACGCCGGCGAGGAGAAGGGCGATCACCCCAGCGAAACAACAAGCCGCACAGAGGCGTGGGGCAGCCACCAAGCAGGCAACTGCTGGTCAGCAACCTGAGAGCTCGTCAAGTACTTTAAAACCTGCCTCTTAGGCACTTCTGTCCTTCAGTGGAACTGTCCTTACGAGCTCAGCATTCACGTCGAAGATACTTGCAGAAGTCTTGTTCTGCACTATTTCAGAAAGGTTTCTTTGGGGTGGCAGTGAAGATAACCACTGCCATATTGGATGGTGTTTTACCTAATAATTGTCTAGTAGTTGATAAGACCTTGAACGAGAGGGAGACAAATTACTTCATCCTCTCAGAAGGCTCAATTTGAATGTACTTTACAATGGATTGAGCACTTTCCAATACAAAGTGTAACTATCAAGAGCTGTCTGAAAATGCACTCAATATAGGAAGAGAATATCGTGATACTAATTGACCTCACCTTTTTCATTTCTTCAAAGGTAAGGAAGAGTATATTGAAGTCCTCTGCATGACTGTACCAGCCTGCAACGTGATCCAGCCACGAACTGGCAAGTACTTAGCAAGGGACATCATCGAAGCAAAGAAAATAAAGAGAAATACTATTAACAGCTAGCAGTACAACAGTAAAATTATCAGTCTCCTGGGTCTTTGAAAGGATTTTTAAAAATAATATTTTTTGATAATTTGAAGGATGTATGCTCCCAGTCTTTGTGACAGTTCTCCAACCTAATGTGACAAATCCCCATTTGTTTCTAGTCATCTGAACTAATACTGGCAGCAGCAAAAAAACCTATTTCTCTATCTTTGCTGTACCGTGTCTATTCTTATGGGTTCGGCTCCGCTAACCAAGTGCAGAAAGTGTTAAGAGATTTTCAGTCATAATGGTTATATTCTGAATCAGCATCCCATTCAGATAAAATAAGCAGCTTGCATGCTGTTGGGGAGCAGCAAAGCCATGACTACGCTACTCCCTTTGGACCAGCTTTCATCAGAAAAAGATGTCAAGCTCAGCCTCTGCAGCTTTGGATTCAGGTTACTGCATAGCTGAGGATCCTGGTAATTGATATTTCGTGATATAATTAATCTCCATTCAATCTCAGGCCATGGAATAGGATTCGGGCTCCTTAGTAAAAAAGATATCATACCTTTGCCAGCTAAAAATCTCTCCATAAAAATGTTGAAATCTGGTACTTCCTCGAGTGAGGATATGAACTTGGAGAAGTGATAGAAAGAAACCATAACATCCTTAGGGTTCCTGGTAATGTAAATAACCTGCAAAACAATAAGAAGACTAGTCTCTGAGATACGAAAGGACTCCATTACCCTGACCATCAGTGCATTTTTCCATACAGGTCCCATGAAAAATGCGTGAAAACCATTTGAAGGTGACAACCGCACGAGGTAAATTCTGGATAATGTAGTGCTGTCAATTTGTTGATAGGTGGTACTCCTGTAGCTGCAGCCGTTCAGTGCCAGCAGCTAACTCTCTTAGCAGGATCAGTGTTACGGGCTTCAGGGATACTGCTCACTTGTGCAAGGCAGTCAGGTTGTAACAACACCACCAGAAAACCATTAGGTTGGTTCAGCTTCGCATTTCTGCGTACGGTCATGATGAAATGGAGAATTTCTTGTAAATCCCAGCTTTGGTAGTGTTGACAGCATCAGTACTCTGTGACCTCAACTCCTGGCCTGTGGTGCTGGTGCCAGAGGCATCACGCAGACAGATTTTGAATGGCACATGAGTGGGAGCCCCGGCATCTTAAAAGAAGGAGCTGTTATGGGCAGGGGTTATTTTTGGCTCCTGCTGACTCCTGACCACACGAGAGCTGCTGCCTCAGGCAGAGACCAGGCACCACCAGTGAGATGGGCAGCCTTCTGCCTCTCAGCTGGCAGTGTGTGCCAGCTTCTACTCAGTTTCTGCTCCTTAACACTCAGACTCTAATTAGGAAGAGAAAACAGAGCTTGGCATATCACCCTTACAAGGTTGAAAAAGGTTTGCAGGGAGACACAGAAGAATCGTGATCTCAGACTGCCTTTCTAACTGGGTAAAATGACTACGTTTGATTCCTCCTTAATTGAAAATTTATCTGATTATCTTCAGCACGACCAGAACCATTATTTCCAAGGTGTATAAAATAAGGATTCCTAAACACACCGCAGGAAACTGAATAAACACCTAGTTCAAAAGCTCTGACGTGAAATCACAGAAGAAGTTACTCTGTGGCTTGATACAAACTATGACCAACCTGAGTGACGTATTCAAGCAAACACAGACCCACCCCCTGAATATTTTTCTGAAGTCACATTAATTTCCCTATTTTCTGACATGTGTGTCCTTGTGTGATTTGGGGGCAATTTTCTCATGCTTTGGGCGTCATTTGGATTTCAAATCTTCTGTGTGTGAGCTTGCCCTTCCAAAATTCACTGGCACTGTGAGGCAAATGGTGAGCACGTTGCCGTTTCCCGTTCCAGCAGTTATGGGTGACAGCAGCATCCTCCATAGCCCTTGCGGGCAGAGCTCTGCCGCGGCTCTCTGCTCACTCAGCCATGGGAAGCCCCTCGTCAGAAATAAGGGTGGAAGGGGCAGAAGTCATTGGGACCACTATAAGAAAGACTAGCAGAAGTACGAGATCCTTCGCGAGGGAGCAAAGTAACAGTTTGCTGCAAGGCAGCTCAGGCGATGCCTGACGTGCTGTTAGAAGTATATATCCCACATGTGTTTCCAGACTTGCCCATATGTCCATGTTCTGTCAGTGAGCCTTAGCGTAGCAGCTGGGTTACACCTGTGTCTAAGGAGGCATTTTCCATGGCAGACAGGCCCTGAGCCACGGCACAGTTCATGATGCAGCGTCCTATTCAGAAACCCACAGCACTGGGGAGCAAGAAAATGCAGTTCTCACATTCCCTCTCTACCTACTATAGGACCATCCTACTCATTTTTTCAGTGTGGGAGGCGTATTTTCAGACTTACAACTTTGCTGGAATCAGATGTTTTCACAAAGGGAAAATCACTGCAAGTCTTTGACCCTGACAGATCCTGTTGAGATATAACACCCCTCTCTCTAACAGCATTGGGGCTGAGTGATGTGATGAAAGGAATCACAAGAAATGGGCTTTAGAAGTTCCCGACCTCCCCATATATAAGGGGGGGATATTTATTCTGAGACATGGGGAACTGAAAGAGGAAGAAGGTAGGTTTTGGACCAATCCACTGAGGCAGAATGACATGATTGGTTTTAAGGAAACTGTAAAAATAGCATCACTTACACGTCCTCTTTTGTTCCTCAGGCCTCTTGGAACTAAGTAGTAAGGCAGGTGGGTGGCGAAAACACGAGGCAAAGGAAGAGCTGTGTAATCCTTATTGTCTGTCCTGTATTCCAACCATGGGATTCTCTGCATGTTGTCCATGTTTTCTGTTCCATTACGATGACCTTCATGAATTATTAAGCTCAAAATGTTCTGAGTCCACACAGTTCCTGAGAAGGAAACCTTTTTATTTGAACCTTGCTTGATTTTTCTTTTTCAAATTAAAGATAGCATATTGCCATGAGCCAGCTGGTAATGGTGGGAGGAAAATCCCGAGTGATTAGCCCACTCAGGCCATGAGCAGAACTGTTTAATTCCAGGTCCTCTGGCCTTCTCGGCACTTTACTAGCACTGGTTCCTTTCCCCTTCTATACCATAGGCCAGTAAAGATGGACACTTGAGAGATTTCAAATCAGTGCAGAAGAACATTGAATTATTGCTGTAGGTTGCCCTGAAGAAGCACAGGGAAAGGGAGCCATCTGAAACTGAAGCCTAGTTGTTAAGACCTCACCTGGGAAGGAAGCTCTTGGTTCTAGCGGTAAGACTGTATGCATGTTGTAGATTTAAAGTCACTGGGAGGGAAAAAGAAATAGCCCGAGGATTCGGAGAAACAATATCCAGTGATTTCGCAGCTGTCTTGCTCTGCTTAGCGTAATCAACCTGGACAATTTTTCTGCACAGTGGTAGAGATTCAGCAGAGGACTGGAGGTGACCTTAGATTGATAATTGGTGAGGAAGAAAGAGGATGGTGGGGCAGCATAAAGGAAAAGGTGTGAACGAGAGAGAGATGACATTCTGTGCAATTCATAACTCTAAGTCATCTTGCAACTCCTTCCTGTCCCAGGGTAGCCCATCACTTTGCCACCCAAAATTCCTACTCCCAAAGAGGTGTTCATCTCAGTGCTGTAACATCTTTACCCCTTAAATACTGCCCTCTCATCCTCCTTCCCTGCCTTACTGGGACAGCTCACCCTGGTGCTGCCTGACAATGAGCTAGCATTGCCTGGGCTCCCCGTCCCCTCTCTCTGTCACCCCTCCACAGGCTTCTCGTATCACAGCTACCTTAACCACGACCACACCTGGTGCTCCCTGCCACTCCTTCTGGGCTTTGCTCAAGAGTATCTTGAAAGGAAGCATACAGCATTGACCCACATTTGCCCTGATCTCCTGCTTGCTTGTAATTTGGACGCAGCGACCTCCAAACCGCCTTCCATGTGAGCCCACAAATCATTCCAGGTAACCCACAATCATCTCCAACACTCACGCACCCAGCCCTACCAGAACTATGTATGAGTTTTGTGAGGCAGAGGAGGACAGTTTGTTTCCTATGTAGCTTGCTCTGAGTGCACCTACGAGATTGAGTCCGAGAAGGAGGTAGACCAATTCAGTTGGACACAAGCAGGAACCCTGTGTCTGGCTGTTCAGGCCATGGCTATGCAGGGTTTGTACTTAATGCTACACCGCATATGCTCAGAGACAATTCAGGTCTAAAAGGAACAACTAACAACCCTAGGTCCTTCTGCAGTTAGATGGCTGAATAAAGGCAGATATTTTTTTTCCCCCCCTTTAGAAACAATTCCATTCTTACCTGATTTTGGGTAAGTAGCTATAAATATGTCACTATCTTTGATTTCAAAATCCTCCAGGGTAGCTACATACTCAGGTGAAGTTATTACACCAAAATAAAACCCTTTGTATTTGAATAGATATTCTTTCGATGGTTCCATTTTTAATCCGCTGTCTTTACAGGCGAATAACCTGCAATGAGAAAAGACGAAAATGATCTTGTTATATCTTGTTCAACAAACAAGTCATTCAAACAAAGAATCCACTGCTGGAAAATTTTAGCAAAATGCATTTCAGCAAAACTACGGAAACAGTACACCAAAATTTATCTTTCAATTTTTCACAAGAACGTCACTCAGGATAAATTTGTAATGAAAAAGAAATACCCTTTACTCATGTACAAGTGTACGCTACCTGCATGTAAAAACTGATGTGACTGAAGGCAACCTATGTAAAAATCGTTTGTCAAGATTCCTCTAGCATCTGAATGACTGTAGAGTTTTCTTTGGGATGTCAGTAGCTCTTGAACAGAGCTAGCTTAACTACCAGGCTCTCATTCTGAATTTTGTGACTGAAACAGTCTTCAGAATGTTTTACTACAATTTCTGCCTCCTACTGCTTCTTCTCTGACTCATTACTACTATTTCTCCCATAGTAAGCATAATTTCTGCAAACTAGGAAGGGTAATCATGAACACGTGTTTATTTCTTAAGCACGCCTACACTGGTTTTATGAGGTTGTACCTCATTAACACCACTGCCATATATTTGCCAGAAAAATACAACAAGCATCATTGTGGTGCCTAGGGAAGAGCAAACGCTTGGGGAGGTACAGGAAGAGCAACAGGGAGACTGAAGAGAGAGACCAGCTTTTGTAGCTGAGCCAAAGACAAATGCAGCATCTAGGTTTGAAGGTTTTGGTCTGTGTCTCTCCTGAAGTCTTTGAGCAGAGCAATTCGTCCATGGATTTCAGTGAGCTTGCCATCCTGGCGTCTCCCTCCCTGCTCCGTAGATGAATTATTTATTAATGCCATTAGACCACCTACAAGCCTCGGCAGAAATGACATAAACCAGTTCAACTCCAGACCCGGCTATCACAAGCGTTGCCTTATGCGGGTTCAAATCTTATGTGGGTTAAAATCTATTTGGAAAGAGACGCTTTCCTCTCTGGAATTTTGTCTGTGTTCCTGTCCCCTGCCTTCCGCTCGCCACGAGACCGTGCCCTCTCGGACTGCTGCGTTTGCCATTGCATCACCGTCGGGATGTCGCCACTGCTCCACCGTCAGGCCATCACCCTCCCCGAACGTGTCCCCCACGGCCTGTGAACTCTCTCTCTCTCTCTTGCCCCCCCCCCCCCGGCCTGGCCCTGAGCCTTCGGCGGGAGCGCTGCCCCAAGGACGTGCCCTCCCGCCCGGGGGGGCCTCGGAAAGCAGCCGGGGATCTCGCCGCTGGCACGGCTCCTCGGGCTGCTTGGCGGGACGGGGGAAGGGACACGGCGGCCACTGCCACGAGCGGGGACACTGTCCCGATCCGATATCGGGGATGTCCCGATTCGATATCAGGGAGGGTTCTTAAACGATCCCAAGAGCGAGATTAAGACACAAACGAGGTCAGATGCCGGGCAACCTTGTAATCTTTATTAAACAAGCGGCTGGTAAGAGCGATAGGACAGGGAGAAAGAGGAAGAGAGAGTCGGAATCCCTAAGCTAGAAAACGGTAGAGATGCGGCAAGATTAATCACCACCACCACGAGCCCGCGATGTCCCGTTGGCTCAGTCTCGGTGCAATCGATGATGGTCCAAGCTCCAAGCTCCGCCGAAGTCCACAAGAGAGATGTTTTGGGAGCCCACATGCACTCACACACACATACGTGCACGCACACACATACGCGTACACACACAAAACGCCCGCACGCAAGAAACGCGCCACCCGCACACAAGAAAACGCGCCCCTCAGTACAGAGTACGCAGTCCTTTTATCGCCTTAGTCCCCACGATTTCCTGGAAAAGTCCGCCCATTTCCACAGAGCTCGTTGTAATATGTGCCGCCCCGTGGACCTCCATGCGCGCATGCCCCGGCGGTCATGGTGGTCTCGCTGGCGAGGGTCGGCCCACGGTGCCTTCAGCCTCTGCCCATCTTCCTCGCCTCAATTTCCTCCCGACCACGCAGGTGCAGTCTGGCTGGTACTGCCAGGGATGTTGTTATTTGTGCTTCGGGCAGACATCGTGGTTTCTTCGGGGGCTACCCGTCTCCTTCAAGGCGTACTCTGTCGCATCAACAGGATGCGGAGGCCAGGAAGTGGTAGTGGTGCAGCAGCGATGTTGAGACAAAGAAAGTCCTACACAGTCTCCTACAGACACCCACTGCCCGCCCTGCCCCGGGCAGGCGGGCTGGGTTACCTCCAGCAGCCGCAGGAAGACACACGGACGTCCCTCGGATGGCGGCAAAGGCGGCGGCCGGCCCTGATCTAAACAAGTCCGTGGGCATACGGTGCTAGCAGGTTTTCAAACACGTGCCTTTGTTTCACTAGATCAATAAAATCTAGTTTCTCCAACGAGCACCTGCGCTCGGTGCCGTCAGACAACAACAGACCCCTTTGCTTCGGGTGGTGATGCACAAGCTCGGTTCTGCCGCCAAAGCCCTGCTGGCGAAGGGACGCGGCTGGACGTCTCCCACCTGGGCGTACCGGCCCCTGTGCTTGTGCTGCCCTCCTTCCACGCGTGCCGGTGGCGTGGGCCGCGGCCGGGGGCGGCGAGGGGAGCGAGGGGAGCGAGGGGAGCCGCCGGGGCGCGCAGCGAGGGGGCTGCCCGCCTCACCTCACCTGCCCGCGGCAAAGCCCGGGAGGCGCCTCAGCCCTCCTGGCGAAGCCGGCGTTTCACCGAAACAACCCCCCAACGAACCAGCCCCCTAAATGGAAAAAAAAAAAAAAAAAACCAAAAAAAAACCCCATGCTTAATAACAAAGGGATCAGTACACTCTTAAGTCCAAGCCGTGAACCCCACGCTTAATAACAAAGGGATCAGTACACTCTTAAGTCCAAGCCGTGAACCCCACGCTTAATAACAAAGGGATCAGTACACTCTTAAGTCCAAGCCGTGAACCCCACGCTTAATAACAAAGGGATCAGTACACTCTTAAGTCCAAGCCGTGATGCCAAAGCTGGGGAAGTCTTAAGAGCGCAAGGATTTGGAGAATGAGTAAAAACATATTACTGATACAGGAGACAGAGCAAGGACTTTGCGGAAAACGAAAAGGGGACACATGCAGTGGACAGTATACAGGAACCTTCTCGATCTTGTTCTGTCAAAACCACGAGTTTTTACACCACTTTGGGACAAAGGCGGTTGCACTGCTTGTTTCTTGCAGGTGTATGAATATACCGTGAAAAAAATACACCACGGAAAAAAAAAGCTTTTTCATGATCTAGTGTATTTGACACGTTCAGGCGTGCTCGTACCATCCAGCTAGGCATCTCAAAAACACATCTCAAAAATCTGCCTCCAAACGCAGACACAAAGGTGTCTGCCAGTTAGTCTCCTAAATCCACAGTGACCGCACGCTTTTACTCTGCTCAGTTAATTATCTCACAGCTGTGATGCCGCTTTCTTTGTTCAGTGATACCGAAAAGCCCATCTGAGACTCCAGTTTCCATACCAGCACTGAGAGCACCATGCTCCGGACAGCCATCCTCCTCTCAAGCAAAGAGCAGCTCTAGCCCCTAGTTCTCTGCAACTCTTTCCGGCAGTACGTGCTAAAATAGTCTACAAAAGAGGTATATCTATAATTATTATTTTACTAAGAAGTTAATGGAGCATCATTTAACTCGCAGATCTACCGTTCTAATAATTTCAGGCGTACTTACCGCCTCTGCTCTCTGCTCAGTGCCCACCGAGCCACATGCTACTACTTCCCAGCTTGGCGACCGCGAGTAATTCTAGAGATGCGTGAGCCGTCACGGCTCCTTTTTAACTGAGATGTGAACCCATGGACACTCTGCCCGTTGGTTTACTTTCAATATTTGCTTATCTTTAACGCAGACAGAGATTAGAGAAACAATGTAACTTGCAAAAAATTGGAAGCAGTCCAGAAAGATTTTTGAAGTTATTTAAAGGCTTATTTTAGTTTTTGTTCCTCTTCTTTTTTTTTTTTTTTTTTTTTTTTATCAACAGCATTACAGAGAAAGGTTGGAGAGGAGCAGAAGTTAATACTTTTTTTCACTGAACTTTTGCCTAAATTGTTTTTTATCTCCAAGCAAAACGTGACAGTAGTTGCAAAGAATAGACTGAATCCACTACTCCACTGAAGTAGTTAATCAGACCAGTCCAGCCTGGTCTCAGCCATGAGCCTGGAATGAGCTGCTCGGATTACTCATGCAAATGTGTTCATGTTAAGTTTTTTTGTGAGGTATAACTGAAATAAAATAACGTCTGAGACATTTCTCCCTGAAACCTATACTCCAACAAGATCTCAGAGAAGAACTTTTTGTTTCCCAGTTCTGCGTTGCGTTTTGTATAGGTTTGCTTTTTAACCTGAATCAGTTCCCTGGGTATTCCCCAAACTTGCCCAACCAACCGGTCAGGTTGATCAGCGTGAGAATGAGACAGAAGGAGGAGTAGGATTGAGGTCTTTTTCACCACAGAGGAAACGCAGTGAAAGATTTAGCCTGTCCTGCTTTGCTTTCTGCTCCAATCAGGCATATCTCTACCATTTTGCAACTTCAATTTCTCTTCTAAGTGTCTCATAATAATGAAAGACAACACCTTGTGTTCCCAAAACTACACGTGGAAGTGCTCCACCAGATGTTCCGGCCCCTGGCACATGGCTCTGAGGAATCTGAAGGGTAACAGTTACTGTCCCACACCAGCTTCGTGAACTGGCCAGGGAGGTTGTTGGCAAAGTGTGAGTTAGAGGAAGAAACAGTATTTTCCAGTGAAAACAAATAGCATTTAAAGCCATTTGGCCTTCAGACAGATAGTGAGTGGGGAAAGCATATGAATCCTAATGATATTGTAAAATGGCAGCATCCCAAAGTCAGGATTTGTCCCTGCTTGTCAGTAGCACTGAATTACAGTCTATCTGCAGTTAATTGAACATAGTGTTCACGTATATTATCTTTTCCAGGATAAACAGTCCATCGCAATATTAATAATTAACCTGGGATGCAAATACCTAAGGTGCTTATATTGTAGGTGCAGTTGCACAAAGTTCAGTTGGACACTGGGAAAGGAAATGTATTGTTTATTGCATAATATAAACAAAACCAGTGTTCTCGGTGCGATTAACATCTTAGGTCCTCTGGTTGTTTCCTGTGATACTTCGCACCAGTACATTTCTGCACATGCTAATCACAGTGCTTTCACAACCCTCTACAATGACAGCAAACTGATGTAGCTCTGGAGTTCTGTGTATAGACAAGAGACATACCTCCTGCTACCTACATTGTAAAATTAAAATGTAAAGCAAATGCCAAATTAGACACATGGAACCCCACAATAAGTTTCACGTAAGTTTCTGCAAAATACATTCAAAATATCATAGCAAAAAAAGGACAAATTAAATTAGACCACTTCAACACCGATTTTAGGAAGCTGCATAGGAACAGATTGCTGCCCACCAACTGAAGAAAAAAAAAAAAAACAAAAATAAAGGTTTGTAAGGCATTCCTTTATTTCAGACATGCCTCGGGCACTATTAGATACCAATAAGATCTAGTATTGACTCTTATTGCACAAAATCCATGCCAAAGATGCACCGTGCCTGAGTTACTAGAGAAGCTTCTCAGAAGGGCCACGGTCAGCATGGAAGGCTAAATGTGAACACTTTCTGCTCCCTCCTACAGGATTTCTGTCGCTGGCACACCCTGTCTCCCTCTTTCCTTCACTCCTGTAACTCACAACTGAACGTGTTTTACTTGTGTGTCTTGTACCCAAGTTCCCAAGTTCAGCAATATGACAAGGGGGTTTCATGTTGCCACAACAACTCTAAAATGCCACAAAATGGATTTGTCTTTGGAAGATGAGGTGTTCAGATGGTTTTGTTTGTATATCCCAACTAATGCACCAGAGCAGGATTCCAGCAGAGATGCTTAAGCAAGTCCTGTTAATTTGAGGGTACCTTTTTTTTTTCTTTCTGTGAGAGACAGTTTTCTCTCTTATAGCCACTAGTTTGTGTTTTGCACCCAGTTTTCTAGCTAGAAAGAGGGAAGCGTTTGATGCATTTTATACTGCAGAAAAATGAACAGGGTGAAACCGAGGCCTGAGAAGTTTTGGAAAGACTTACAGGGATGGTGTCAAAGCCATACAACCCCAAATGTATATGCTGTACAGTAGGTACAGCACATGAGTGGCATGTGAAAAGGAGCTGTTGCCAGGACGAAATGAATAGGCAGTGACAAAGACGATTGGGCTAATTTTTCTCAGCAAAGGATTTTGAAAGGTGAACCAAATAGATTTGCTGTTTGGTGAAACAGATTCTGAATTTTCTACTACTATGTGTATTATTTCCATGTTTTAACTTACTTCTGTGTGTTACCTTTCTTCTGGGAAAGCAAAGTAACATAAATTTCAGTGACTTAGCTGTGAGCTAGCTGCGAGTACTTGCTCCCTGACTCATGCGCTCCAGAGCGTACGTCAGTAAATATGAATTGCTGTGCTGTTTTCAAATGGATCAAAAAAAAATCCACTAGAAAACAAATTAGTCCAGCAAAAAAAAAAAAAGTGCTTGATCACAGCGATATTTTTTAGTCTTTAGATACAAAGTCATTTTAAGAAGTTGAGCTCTCAGGGGATGGGATGAATCTTGAGTAACACCTTGGTAAGGGAAGTGTGAGAACCAGGACAGGAGGTAGTCCAGAAAAGATCATTTTTGTTAAATGTTTTGCTTAAGTTTTTACTAGACCCTGACCCCCTGCTTCAGTACATTACTAGTCGAAGAAGGTCAGAGTTCTCAAAATACATAAAATGAAGAATAATATCAGCTATTTAGGCAAAGCATGCTAACAGTCTGAGCACAGGATTCCTCTGTTCTAGTTTCAAAGATAGTGTCTTCCTTTTGAGCACAAGGATTTGACTAGTGCTGCATTCTAGCCCGTTTTTCATAGGTTCTGCTTTTACTGGGAGATCAAAGTCGTAACCAAACTCAAAGATGAATCATTTACAAGGATGTGTTAAATTTTGAACAGAGAATCTGAGAACATCATGCCCATGAGAGCAGCTCTCAACTGGAAAACAGCTTTTTAAAAACTATAATGACTTTTTTTCCGATAGTTTAAAATATTAAATCCACGAGGGTAAGAGGAAAGTGAGAGGAATGTTTAAAAGTATAAGCATTTAAAGTTGTAAAATATCTCTGGCCTAAAACGTGTGACAAAACTGATGGCATGACAGCAAAATCACCTTTGAATTAGGCCTAAATCTCTCTTTTTTAACAGCCTAGCCACTTACCTTGGCCAGAACTGAGCACTGAACTCTCCATTTCACACAACACTATGGAGCCGTCTCCATGCATTTCCTGCCTCAGAGTAAATTATGCCTGTGGTGACTGTTACCCAGGTATTTAATTCACATTTGTGTGTGTGTGCACACATGTCTTAAGAGAAATTGAAAAAAGAAACTTGAAAAGGCCAGTGATTGAAGACCACAGTGTTCTTTTCCCTTAGTTGTAGCAGAGATCTAAAATCCTTCCAATTGCTCTGCGTGTCCAGTAGCTGAAAAGCATTACTCCAACTACACTGTTTTTCTGTATGCATAGCAAAAATTATCAGCTGGATATCTTATTACTTCTGTCTTGGCTGTTCCCCCTAAAAATTCTGTATCTTCTCCAGAAACCTCCCCTTTCTCAAGAACTGTTTAAAGTATTGCTGGTTTACACTCTCATAATATTGTTTGCTTAACCCTGCTACACTTCCTTGTATTCAAGGCATTTACAAGCACTTGTGTTTTACAGCTCTGCTTTTCTCCTTTTAGCCTGGTTCAACTTCCGATATATCAGCCTGACACTCTTGTTTGCCGTTAGAATAAAAACCTTTCTCCTTCAATCTGTTTGGAAAGGCCTCATAGTTTGCCTTGGGATTTGCCTTTCATATCTTTGGCTGTAACCTGTTCCCACCACAGTCTCGGGTTCATCTTTTATTCAGATTTTTCTTATCAGAGCTGTAGACCTCCAACACAGCATCTCTCAGATCCTGCGAAGGAAGGAGTAGATGGGAGCTGGAGGAGTATACCATTAAATAACCCATTCTACTCCATTCAAGACCAAGTTTGTCAAGGCACTTTGACATTTTACCTCTCAGTGCCAGTTTGAACACTGTTAAGTGCCAAAAGCTCTAGTTTGTAAAGAGAAGCTCTGGATAGCTCTGGATTAGAACCAATTAATAAAAAAATCTTTCTATGTTAAGTCTGCCTACTTTGAGACTTCTCCAAGTGAGGTGATGGGCTAATGCTGATTTTAGTCTTTAAAATCTTCAAATTTTTTTCCCTCAAAATTCTACAGACTCTCCAGTTTGTTAAACCACTGCAAAAGACACAGCCTTTTCTTCTGTGGAAAGGACACTGGCTTTTTTTCTGTGAAATTTAAGCTAGGATGCCACAAACTAAATTATATGTGACATAACCCACCAAAAGCAGAGCTGTAATCTTGTAGCCACCAGCTGTCCATGGAGGAATGAAAAATATTACCGCATTGTAAACTGCTGAACATCTGAGAATGGGGACAAGAGTCTGTACGTTTTTCACTGATAAGTCTTGCACAGTGTGATCCCACTTGGAATATGAGTTGTCCTATGTTATCATGTAGCCAGCAGTCCAGTTAAAGTTGCAGCTCATTGCCTACATTGCCCTGAAAGTTTGAGGTGAAAGGTAAATGAGAGAAAAGCTGTAGTGAAAACATGATATGAAAGTATATCCCTGTGAGGAAAATTAGTGCCTGAA